TAATATATTTGTTTAGTAACTTATACTGGGTACACAAACTAACAGTTAGGTATACACATTTACTTACCACAGACACACACACGCGCGCGCATACATACATAAGAGTTTGTTGTTCATAGCACGAAAAAATGAGGAAAACTACAGAAGTGTCAGGAATGGGATTTAAACCCACTCCCACAAGAGTGGACTGCGACCTGAACGTAGCGCCTTAGACCGTTCGGCCATCCTAACAGTGTGTGTGATAGTGTGTCCTTCTATCTTTCTACTTCTTTCTATGAGTGCCAATCAATACATTAGCTGTTTCCTTATTATATATAAATATAATATTGCGGTATGTGACAGCTAATAGCATCTCAAAACAGACATGCCGTCGTCCCCCGTGTCTCCAGTTGTTCTGGTGATATGACCTTGCTGTCCATGCCAAGACGAATAAGGCAATGAGCAGGACTCCGTATCGTTGTCCTGCACCTGGGTGCTACAGACAGGATATGAACATTTCACCAGGAGCACACACTGGATGTTTGATTAATCAACACAGGACAGGCCTCATGGGACACCTTTATCCTTGTGGGTGTGGGGCGAGGAGGCGATTAGAGCACCTGTTGATGTGTTTGGAGTGCTGAATTTGTAATCCTCAGTAATGACTTGATATTATGTGTATCAAGATAGGTGAGTCGGCAACAACAATGCGCAGATTAACGCAAAGAGTTTGGGAGAACAGAAAGCTGACGGTTAAAACAAAAGCCTTGTCTTTTAAGCTTGTGTTTTCAGCACCCTTCTTTGCCGAGGTGAATATTGGTCGACTTATTCGTACGAGGAGAAGCAGCCATGTAATAATGAGTTCCGTTTTTAATTACGCCCCTAAAAGCTTGCATTTCAGCGTCGCGTGCCGTGCCGTATGCGTTCTTGCTCGCTATCTGAAAAGATGGCCAAAGCCTCGGATCAAATCTGTGTTCTTCTCTCGCTTGTGCTAATATCACTCCTATCTATCTATCTATCTGTCTGTCTGTCTGTCTGTCTGTCTGTCTGTCTGTCTGTCTGTCTGCCTGCCTGCCTGCCTGCCTGCCTATCTATCTATCTATCTATCTATCTATCTATCTATCTATCTATCTATCTATCTATCTATCTATCTATCTATCTATCTATCTATCTATCTATCTATCTATCTATCTATCTATCTATCTATCTATCTATCTATCTATCTATCTATCTATCTATCTATCTATCTATCTATCTATCTATCTATCTATCTATCTATCTATCTATCTATCTATCTATCTATCTATCTATCTATCTATCTATCTATCTATCTATCTATCTATCTATCTATCTATCTATCTATCTTATCTATCTATCTATCTATCTTTATAATGTATCTGTCTGTCTGCTTACCCATATCTCTCTCTCTTTCTCTCTCTTTCTCGCTCTCCGTCTCTCTCTCTCTCTCTCTCTCTCTCTCTCTCTCATCACTCTCTCTCTCTCTCTCTGCCTCACCGTCCGCATGTCTTTCGCCATACGCCTATTTCTCTACCTCATCTGTCTGTTTTAAGTGTCTTGTCTGCCGCGACGACGTCCATTTGTGACAGTAAACAATGTACACAGTGTGAGTCACCATATTCCCCCAGACGTTTCCCAAAATGGCAATTTTAAATCCGGCGAAAAAAAACGACCAAGGTAGAAAAGTAGATCCGGTGTAATCATGGCCCGGAAATCGGGACTTAGACAGTGTGGTCGGGGATCCTTACAAAAGTTGTTTACAGAACAGAAAATAGACCAGTCTTTCTATGGATTGGCTGCAAACATAAATTCCTCCAAGATTAGTGATCTTGACTAGCGTCTGACCCGCCGATTTCCTAATGTCTGCTCTTAGAATAGTTAGCGGAACTACGTTTAGTCATAGGACAAGACAAAGCGAGGATTGAAGCAGTGAATGTCGTGGGGTTTTCTGCGCTTTCTTTTTCATAATTATTGTCAAACGAATATGGCTAGGACAGGAGCGGGAGAGAGTAGGAAGGGGGGGGGGGGGGTGATTGATTAGATACGCATTTGCCTTTTTCATTCTGCTGCTTGCATTATTCGAATTATAGGGCCTGTTCACGTTTCCTGGCCCATCTACACACTTTCTCAGTCTGATCTAGACCTGAGGGATGTCATGTTCTACTATTTTCTTCGAAAAGAGTCTAACGTGACCTAGGCTAAGGCTGTGGGTAGTGGGGTATGGGTAAGAGCCAGTTCTAGATGTTCTAGGGTCTTTGAGAGCTGTGTCGTCGTGTAGTATAGAACACGCGACATCGGCGCTGATGTAATTGGAGGAAAGACAACCTGACACCCCTACGACGTAGAAGAGTCTGAGAAATTCTGAATGAAAGGTCGGGCATTGTATAGATGGACCGGGAAACGTGAACAGGACCGAAATATAAGATGGCGATTACACACCAGATACTCTCGGACGGGCGCGCTCGCATTTTCAGGATGCCAAGCAGACGGCATAAATAATTAGCCTGTGAGACCCTCGATCATAATGTTTATTTTGTTTTGTTGCCATCGTATGAGAAGAGAGACACTGACAACTAGACAGATTTTGTGAAAAGAGGTTAGAAGACGACAACGCGGGAAGATTCTCGATGATTGCCTTTTGTTATGATATGTAGGAGAGTCAGTACACCAGCTGCTGAACTCTCTTGGAGATCGCAGGTTGTGGAGAGGCATGGGTGCCAAATCCAGTCTGCAAAGCACTTGACGCTGATGGCACGACATAATATAACGTCTGGAATCGAATGTGCAAATATGACAACTATAGAGTAGACAAACAAGCGCTCTGGCGTAATGAGTAACTCTTTAATAATTAGACATGATGCGTCTCATCAATTGTTTGCCGTACCATACACACAGCTCGTCACCATCATCGTCTGTCCCACACCTGACTCATTAGCGTTTCGGTCGCCTCACACCTGGCCTCATCAATTCTTCAGTTGTCTCAACCCCTTATCTCACACAAATTGGTGGTCACCCTCGTCAGCTGTTTCATAATTGGTCCATCATCTTCTCAGTTTGTCTCACACCCTTATCACACACAAATTGGTGGTCACCCTCGTCGGCTGTTTCATAATTGGTCCATCATCTTCTCAGTTTGTCTCACACCCTTATCACACACAAATTGGTGGTCACCCTCGTCGGCTGTTTCATAATTGGTCCATCATCTTCTCAGTTTGTCTCACACCCTTATCACACACAAATTGGTGGTCACCCTCGTCGGCTGTTTCATAATTGGTCCATCATCTTCTCAGTTTGTCTCACACCCTTATCTCACACAAATTGGTGGTCACCCTCGTCGGCTGTTTCATAATTGGTCCATCATCTTCTCAGTTTGTCTCACACCCTTATCACACACATTGTTTGTCACCATTATCAGCTGTTTCAAAAGTGGTCCATTATCTCATTAGTTGTCTCACACCCTTATCACACACATTGTTTGTCACCATTATCAGCTGTTTCATAAGTGGTCCATTATCGCAGTAGTTGTCTCACACCCTTATCACACACATTGTTTGTCACCATTATCAGCTGTTTCATAAGTGGTCCAGTGTCGCAGTAGTTGTCTCACACCCTTATCACACACATTGTTTGTCACCATTATCAGCTGTTTCAAAAGTGGTCCATTATCTCATTAGTTGTCTCTCACACCCTTATCACACACATTGTTTGTCACCATTATCAGCTGTTTCATAAGTGGTCCATTATCGCAGTAGTTGTCTCACACCCTTATCACACACATTGTTTGTCACCATTATCAGCTGTTTCATAAGTGGTCCATTGTCGCAGTAGTTGTCTCACACCCTTATCACACACATTGTTTGTCACCATTATCAGCTGTTTCATAAGTGGTCCATTATCGCAGTAGTTGTCTCACACCCTTATCACACACATTGTTTGTCACCATTATCAGCTGTTTCATATTTGGTCCATTATCGCAATAGTTGTCTCACACACTTATCACACACATTGTTTGTCACCATTATCAGCTGTTTCATAACTGGTCCATTATCTCATTAGTTGTCTCACACCCTTATCGCACACATTGCTCGTCACCCTAATGATTTGTCTCACAGCTAGCTGCATTGTCTCAGCTGTCTCACACCGTTATAACACATACTGCTCGTCAACCTAATCATCTGACCCATTAATTAGTGTTTCGATCGCATCACACATGGCCCCATCATCTCCTCAATTGTCTCACACTCTTACCTCACACATCGTTTGTCACCCTTAGGAGCTGTTTAACAGCTGGTCCATTCTTTCCTCAGTTGACTGACACTCTTATCACACACATCGTTCGTCACCCTCATTATCTGTTTCACAACTGGTCCTTCATCCCAACAGTTGTCTTACACCCTTATCATACAGATTGCTTGTCCACCTAATCATCTGTTTCACGCCTGACCTATTAATGCTTCGATCGCCTCACATATGGCCCCATCATCTCCTCAACTGTCTCACACCCGTATCACACACATTGCTCGTCACCCTCATCAGCTGTTTCACAATTGATCCTTAATCTCCTCACTGTCTCACACCCGTATCACACACATTACTCGTCACCCTCATTAACTGTTTCACAATTGATCCTTCATCTCCTCACTGTCTCACACCTGTATCACACACATTGCTCGTCACCCTCATCAGCTGTTTCACATTTGGTCCTTCATCTCCTCACTGTCTCACACCTGTATCACACACATTGCACGTCACCCTCGTCAAGTGTTTCACAACGGCCCATTAATTTGTCTCTTATTTGATGTCTGGCTTCATTATCTCACCATTTGTATCGCACCATTATCGCGCACATTGTTAGTCACCTCTTATCAACCGCTTCTCTCTTACACACAGACCACATCATCTTATATACTCACCTTATCAACGTCCTCACTCGTTATCATGCACACGGCTCATCTCATTATCTCCAGCCAAATAGTCAGCTCTTCCATACATCTCACCCACAGTCCCGCTACTCCTCGCAGGAGCGCCTGCACCAGCTCCCGTCACACCCCACGGCCGAGGAGCTGCATTTCCTGTCCAGCCACTTCGGCAGCTCGGAAAACATTGCTACGTCCCATGACGACAACGAGCTTCATCCCCACGGCAACCTGCGGCCTCGGTCTCGAAGTTTGAGGTGAGTACACTTGGGGCACGTGTTCAGTCTCTATGTGTGTGTCTGTGTAATACGTATGCAGATGCGTGTGTGTCTGATGCTTTCTGGCACCAGACACAGATTGTAGCAGTTCATGAATTGTGTGAATTAGAAACAAATTTGATTTGTGTTTATAACCTGGATAACTATCGGACTGCGAACATGTGCCAGTTTGAACGCACTATTGCGTGGTCCCGTATCAATCTGGTATCTCCTCTGTATATTTATCTCTCTGTCTGTATCTGGTTCTTTCTGTGTTGCGTACCTGTGTGTGTGAACGAGAGAGAAAGAAAGAAAGAACAACTATATCATCTTTCAGCTATCTTCCGAATAACGGTCCCAAATTATCGAGTCCGAAAATATATCCTAACAGGGCCTCAGTCACGTGTCAATGGCGAACTTTCGGCGACTTAAATTGCCCACTTCTGGCGACTACCGCCACCGCCGAGAGTATCTCACACGTCGCAACTAGATGGCTGGGACTCACTAGCAGCAGTTACCGCATCTCTTGCAGCTTTCTTAAATTTTATTTGCTCGTGAGTCCCAGCCATCTAGTTTAGCCCCAATCCGTGCGTAGCGACGTGGGAAATACTCTCGGCGGTGGCGGAAGTCCGAAATTGACAATCGACTGAGGGGCCCTGTTAGGGTATATTTTCGGCCTCGATAATTTGGGACCGTTATTCGGAAGATAGCCCATCTGTCTTCATGTGCGAGAAAGAAGAGACACACCCAGAGGACGAGGATTACCGCGTTGTATGCAGACGTCCTGAAACGTTGAAAGTCACCGACGACAACGTTGTTAGCAAGCAGTTTACCTGCAGAAGACACCTACCACTTGCATGTTTGGTTGCTGTTGTAGCCGTCTCCAGTTTACAATTGTTGTGGTGTGGGTGTGGATGGGACGATTAAAATCAAACGTCACTATAGTTAGTTTAACAAGTGTGTATGTATGTGAGTGAGAGATGAGAGAGGGGGGTGGGTTGCAAGATATTAGATATGCTATTATAAAAAAACGTCACTATAGTTAGTTTAACAAGTGTGAATGTATGTGAGTGAGAGATGAGAGAGGGGGTGGGTTGCAAGATATTAGATATCCTATTCTTATAAAAAGCTTTCAAACATGCTATTAATATAAAAGGGGAGCCGCCATGGTGGAGCGGCTAGGCGCTCGCTTATGGATCGGAAGGTCGTGGGTTCAGGTCTTGGCGGTACCGGACTTTAAAAAAAAAATTAGTTTAACTCAGTGTGATGAATGGAAACCTCGCTCCGCAGAATCCAGAATGGCCCAGCCAGCATTGATAGTCCGTTAGGAAGATTCTTGTCAAATCTGAACTTTTGGTTTCGACAATTATGTTTTGAGTTTGGCTGATGTCGTGACGTCACGAGTGCCATAAATGCTGGCGACAATGTTTGCTTGACCTCAGCGCGAAAACCTTTCAGTAATCTCATTTCTTGGCATTGAAAGCTTCAGAATTTGATCCCCGATGGTTTGGGCTTTTCTCCTTTTTCTGAGTATTGAATTTCTCATGGCCGTTCTATTTTGCTAAAGAAAACAGAGCTAGTAAAATGGCAAGAGTTTATATTTACAGCCTACAGATCGCACTGGTATAGCAGATCAGGTGTGGAAAATTTCATGTAGTCACCCCCTTCCCCTTCTCCCAACACACACACACATTTTTATGTTACAAAAACAATGATTCCATTTTGTCACCATCTTGGTGATTACACCCGGCGCGGCCCGCACACACGTGCCTCTTACGCTATTTGTACACAAACACGGACCAGTGCACGCGCGCTTGCGCGCGCGCGCACACACAGAGAGAGAGAGAGAGAGAGAGAGAAAACATGTGAACTTTATTTTCAAAGGCTCACACATTTGGCACGTCTTACATTGGGCCTTTCCCGCCACTCATGTTTTACACAGCATTTGTACTTGATTTATAATGCAGATTAAAATATACACAGTATGAGTACCGTTTACTGTTTGTTACAAGAGCACAATATAACACACACACACATACATACATACATACATATGTCTGAGCATCAAGGGTTCAAACCCACATCACGGTGGATTGTTTAAAAAAAAATACATTGACTATGACTCGCTGGACATCCCAGCTTAACATGGTTACCAGGAAATGTCCTGGGCAGTAAAGATGTTCAGCGTGAGGTCACTCCTAGAGTGCCATCTCTTCTGTTATTCTGCCTTCTTTCCCCCACTAGAGCATAGACACTCAACCAACTCCAAGTAATTCGTTCTATCCTTTGCTCTTGCATGCAGCAGACTCCATATACTCTTTATCTGTTAAACTTTACTCCCCAGCTCCCTTCTCCATTTGTTGTTGTTGTTCAGGGGATCGGTCTATGTGATTTCTATACTCCGTTGGGTTCCAGTGCAATGACATTCTAGACTGTTCTCAGGTTTTCTCAACGTATGTTGTCCTGACCAATGCCAGCGTCTTTTCTGCACCTCTTGATTCACTGGAATTTGTTTAGTTCTCTTCTAAAACTCCACATTGGTGATTCCTTCCTACCATTTTATTCTCTCTGTTCTGTAGAGGCACCAGTTAAAAAATGTTTGTAGTTTGTTAGTGATTGTTTTAGTTGTCCAGGGCCATTTGATCCACACAAAAAATATAGTTTTTGCACTGCATGCATGCTGTGCCAAAGAAATGAAAAGGGTCCTTTACTTTTTATGTATATTTAAAAAAAAAAAAATTTTTTTTATGTTCATCTATTTAATGTTCCAATAAATGTGTTCATCAAAATAGCAAGTTCCTATAAAAAGTGACTACATTGATCTCATGAATCATTACCCAGGAACTATATAAATTGTTATCTTATTTGTCACTGTCAAAAACTATATTCTTTTCTTTCTTTCTTTCTTTCTTTCTTTCTTTCTTTCTTTCTTTCTTTCTTTCTTTCTTTCTTTCTTTCTTTCTTTCTTTCTTTCTTTCTTTCTTTCTTTCTTTCTTTCTTTCTTTCTTTCTTTTTCTCTTTTTTCTCTCTTTCTTCTCTTTTTTTATGTCTGAGACATGTTAGCTAACCTTGTGCCAGCACTCCTTGACCGTCCCTTATGACATGCATAATAAATCGCAGTGTGCTGTTCTTGCTTCATTTATGGGACTGGTAGCCCAAGGAGGAGAACTACATTGATCATTAAATGTAAAGTGATGCATATATATTAATACAAATTGTATCAGTAGTGTATAATTTACTGTTGTGCAACATATGAACTCAATGTTTGTCTCTTATTTCATGCTACTTGGATGCCGCAGCCTATCATGGCTTGCACTAGAGTAAGACAATTTCTTGTTGTCTGCCTAGTTGTTGTTTCTCAAATAGTACTTCATATAAGTTGTGTGTATCCTTGTATCCTAGTTATGTATTGAGTGTTCTATAATATAGCCAAAAGAGCTCACACATACTACTATTACTTTTGCACTTTTATTTTAAAAATGTTTACTCTCATACCTTTGTACTAACATTGTGTAGTGGTTTACTTTTGTGCATAGTAGAACCTTACTTCCCTGTTTGGATTCTGGGGCCCCATTTTGAATAGACCCACTACATCCCCAACCTAGCATGTTGTAGGAGTTGACAAATTGGGGACTTCCTTCGAAGTCAGAGTGCATCTGCCTGAGCAGTAAGGAAAAACCAACTGCGCACAAAGAAGCCAGTAAAACAGATGTACACGCAAAAACTCAGACCCAGGCATAAAGCCGAAGTCCAAATGGATGAACAACCAGGACTTTCCTCCAGAGCTTGCAGCAGATGGGAAAAGAAGATGAGGAAGAAGTATCTTACTAAGATGGAAAGCATAGGCATTGGCAGTTTGTTCACAGTAGGGTCTCATATAGTTTCGACATAAAAATAAATGAAGGGGAGTTAATTGCAGAAAACTTCCTCCGAAGTCGGAGTACATCTGCCGGAGAGGCGGGGAACGAGAACTGCAAACAAATAAGCCAGTAAAACGGATGTACGCGCAAAACTCAGGTCAAGGTAAAAGCCAAAAGTCCATTTTGGACGAACAACCGCGACTTACCGCGGGAATTCACAGCCGGTGAACAAGAAGAAGAAGAATTGCAGAAAACTGTGAAAATGTGATATATATATATATAATATAGGGGGGAAAAATATAACAAGAAGGCTTTACAAAGATCATGACCTCAAAATAAAAGTACCGAAATGGTTACCCTAACAAGCCTTGATTTGCAAACGAACAAAAAAGTACATTGCACAATTTATTGCCTGAAATATTTCTGCTTTATCTGGTAAGATGCATTGCTACAGTTACATCAACATATAATGAATCACAAAACATGTCTGCTTTCTTCTGAAAAATGCTAATCCATTGCCGAATACAACAGACAGAAGTGGTACTGGTTATATATTAAAGTATAATAACAGTAAAACTAAACAAATATGTAAGAGACAAAATAAGCACATTTGCAAGACAACAGGAGTCTCTTTTGGCAGTGGTGAAACATTGCAAGCTAGTTTGGTGCAGGCAAGTAGTGAGACATGATTCGATTGCAAAGACAATTTCAAGGAACATAAAGGGCTAGTCGAAGAAAAAGGGGGCAAAAGAACCGGGAAGGACAATTCAGGAAATGGACAGGACTAAGATACCACACACTTGTTCATCAAGGGGAAGACAGAGAAAGATGGTGGGTTTTGTGTGTGTGAGCTAGTGCTTCCATTGATTGAGCCTAATGGGTCAAAGGTTATGTTATTTATGTTGATAACAGTACCATATATATGTATTTGAAGAGTGAAAGTATGAGGAATATAAGGATTTTATTGACATCAAGCTGATTCTGGTTAACTCTTTTAGTACCGGAAGGTTTCCTAGGAAATTCCATGAAGAAATATGTGTGATTAAAATTTGTTTTCATTAGCACATTACTTTCAAAATACTAAGAAATATAACAGTAGTTGTGGCCATTGGACAAGCCAGCTTTCTTGAGTGTATTCTGACCAAATACAAGAAGTAAGAGAACATATTAAGCTATTGAGGTGATTCAGCAGATAGTCTTCTTCTTCTTCTTCGCATTCACCAGCTATAAACTCTGGCGGAAAGTTCTGGTTGTTCGTCCACTTCTGGACTGCAGTCCTGTTCCAGAACTTGAGTGTTGCGTGTGCATCCGTTTGACAGATCTGACTAATTTGTATGCAGACTTCTTGCCTCTCAGGCAGATACACTCCGACTTTGAAGAAAGCTCCCATTTCATCAACTCTTACAACATGCTTTTGGGTAGGCAGTGGGTCTATTCTTGTTTTCCCAATAACAGAGCCCCAGAACCCACACGGGGAAGCAGATAGTGATTCACATATCATGCTTTGTTTGCAACCCAAAGAGTTAAATAACTTTACATTTGATTTAATTCTCTCTTTTTCTTGTCATGTTTATCACTAATGTTCACAAGAGACTTTTACACCTTAAAATAAGGCCATTTTGTGTCATTTCTTTCTTTGTTGTGTGTTTATTTTCTAAGGAAGGCTTGTCATCGCTGATTAATTTTTTTGTGCACCATAATAATCTATTATTTTCATGTTCTGTAATATTCTGTGGCTTAGTGGTTATGAATGCAGTTTCATAATTCTGAAATGTAAGGTTCAGTTCAGCATTGTTTTGCATTGATTTTAATAACAGTAGAAGCATCGACCATTCAGAGGCAGTGGCAAACTTTTGAATGTAAAAATGAACCACAAACCAACAACAATTGCTGGGGTTGGCTGGCAACGTATTGTCAAGGTTACGCAACTAGCTCACATTTTGTGTCAGTGTCCACCTTACGTTTCAAACAGTATTTCCCTAGACACTGCTTTTTATATTTTAGACCTATTCTGATAGCAAGATACACCAGCCTCTAACATAGTACAGCAGAATTAACCATTATTGCTTCATGTATACAGGTTTGAGAGAGACATCTGGCATAATTGTAAATAGACTGTTGTTTCCTCACCTCTCAGGCAAGGCACACCAACTTTAAAGGAAACATCTCTGACTAAATCATCTTTCTTCATATTTTTATTAGGGAAACAGTGGGTCTATTCCCCCACCCCCACGGAACCCCCAGAACCCACACGTGGAAGTTCTAGGTTCGATAATGACATACTCCTACTCAAGTTATGCTTGGTGCTCTGCCACCAATTAGATTTTCATCATCTCGAAGCTGTTTGTAAACAGTTGTTGGCACACATTGTTGTTACTACCTGTTTGTTGAAATGTCCTCAATGTATCTTTATGATAAGGGAAATTGCAGCTTTTATTACGTATTCATAATGATACACATTGCTACAAATATCTCACAGCACAGTATACTCTTGCTTTGTGGTGTTGCTTGTATTGATATTTGTTGCAAGCTTTGTCGTTGATTTGTGTGGTCAGATTGAGTCAGACAGTAAAAGACATGCAAGAAAGGTAAATGTGACCCAGTACTTCATAGGAATGGGAAATCTTAGTCATTCATATATAGTGGGTCAAAGTGTATTAAGGTGGAGGTGGCCTGATGCCAGTTTGTGTATACAACCATATCCTTGAAGAAGCAATAGATTTTTCACAGCTTTACTAGAAATCCTAAGAAATCACAGCCATTTGTAAAAACAGTGGTTTTATTTAAATCGATAAATTCTTTTTATATCCTGTAGTTACATGGGAATGTAAATGAAATGGATAAATCAGATGCCAAAATCCATCTTTTGGCATAATAAATCACAAGCAGTTAGATTATAACTATGTGAAATGCATGGTCATTTGTTGTTCTATACATGGTTTAATTATTTAAAAGTATTGCAAAGGTTTCCACAAGAACACTTGAGAAAGATACTGTATGTTTATGATGATATAAAATATTGTATGATAATTATGTTCATTAGTAAATAATTATAACTCTATAAGTGCATGATCATGTGTTGTTCTGTACATGGTGTAATTACACATGTTCACCTAATTGTAACTTAGAAGTAGATTTACACACTCTGTTCTTGTACACATGTAGATGTCTTCACTTGGGAGAACAGCATTTGTATTGACACTTACAGCTGGTCAAGGAGTACATTCTTTGCCAAGAAAACGTATAAAGCACTGAAGACAGAAGCACAAGATGTAGATTTTGAAAAGATATCCCAGTCTGGAGGGCAAACCAACAGGGTATATCCCAGATAAGGAGTCGGGAGATGTGAACCAGTGTCATTGCACACGGTTGTAAACCATAAGTGCTCTGCCACCAGCACGCACAGCTGATAGGAAACTGTCAGTCTGTGTCGCCGTCCTCACGCAACTCCATAGCTACAGCGACGTTCCTCCATTTACCCCAGAGTGTTAACACTGGTACCCGTTACCTAGAGGTTGGGTGAACCCCGGGAACCACCCGATTTCGAATACCGGCCGTGCGCTGCATTGAGTCACAGCGGTATTTGAAAGCAATTTTTTTATCAATTGCGCTAACACGGCCCCTGATCCCAGATACTCAGCCCAGCCTCTAAAGATGTTATAATTAGATATCAGTAATGGCTACACAAGCCAGGTGTTGTCTGCAGGCCTGTGTGGGTAAGGACTAGATTTCCTGGCATACATTTGCATGCTCTTATATTCATAGCTGAATGTATCTCATTCAAACATTATGCAGCTTCTACATCATCTGGCAATATCTGTTCCTTGTTGTTAATAGTTTTATTCTCTTTCTGAACTGTTTTCTGAGTCCCCCATCTCATTGCTTGCCTTTATTTGATCTTTCTTGCCCGTTGCAGCAGCCCAGCCCGTTCTCCTGGGGTGGAGTCAGAGATTGTGATGATGAACAGTGTTTACAAGGAAAGGTTTCCAAAGGTATCTGCATCTTGTTGATGTTTTAGTTATGTATGAGTTTGACTGGCCTAGTAGTGCAGAGCTATGCAGCTAAGTTTATTAAGGGGCCAAAATGTTGAAAAACGGGGATAATCACGGGTCAGAAGTCAAAGTTCCACCATAGAAAGATCGTTAATACAAAACAACTGGCAACAATCTGCGGGCCACTTGCTAGGCCTTTGCGGGCCAGATTTGGCCTGCAGGCCGCCAGTTGAATAGCCCTGTAGTAGTGTCTGAGATATTGTTCGGCTTATTTATTAATTGTCCAGGATTCACAGTGATATGTGAATCCAGGACAATTAATGAATAAGCCCAACAATACCTTGAGGCCTCGGAGATATGGTTTTACAGAAAAATCCTTGGAATTATGCGGACAGCAAAGAAGAGCAACCCAGATATCTTGAAAAAGGCGAGTGCTCGGAGAGAACTTATCAAAAACACAAGAAAGAGACAGCCTTCATTTTTTGGTCACGTTATGAGAAGAGGGAAACTGGAACATGATGTGACCACTGGAAAGAGAGACAGAGGAAGACAGCGTGAGAAGATTCTTGACATCTTTTTGTCATGGCATGGAGGGGTGTCAGCACACAAACTGATACACACAGATTGTGGAGAGGCATGATCGCCCATGCTGGTTGGCAACGCATTTTATATTGATGAGTAGTGTCCAGATACCTAGATGTATATGTATGTTTATAGATTAAATATTGCAGATGTTAATTTTCTATTTTCTTTGCTTCTCTGTCAAGCCATCCACACTCTCTCTCTCTCTCTTTCTCTCTCTCTCTCTCTCTCTCTCTCTCTCTCTCTCTCTCTCTCTCTCTCTCTCTCTCTCTCTGTGCTTGCGGGGGGGGGGGGGGGGGGGCATTTAAAGTTTTCATGAAAGAGCAAGAGAGATTCTGCATGTTTGTAGTGATATTGAATATTTTTTGTTGTTGAAGAATTTACAAAAAAAAAAAATAGTTATTTACTTTATTACCAAAGAAGTCAGTCATGGACTATGAGTAGATTAGTGCAATATTTTGTCATGGACAGTCAGTAGATTAGGTTAGTTGCGTATCCTTTACAGGACGTTGCAGAACCAGCCCTAACAGCCCCTGGCTGTTGTGTGGTTTCTCTAGGCAAATTTATGTCCAGTAGTTTGCCATTGCTTTCTGGACTGTCAAAACCAAGGCAAGGCCCGTGGCCCGCATCTGGGATTGAGCCCGGCAACCTGGCATTACGAAGCGTTCGCATCGACTAAGCCACAGAGCCGACAGTCAGTAGATTAGCATGCAATAATGTTGAAGCTGTGGAGATACATATAGAAGAATAAAACTGCAAACAAAGACAAAACGTGATGAAGATTACTTGACAGTTAACACATCTATTCACAGGCACTCTGAGCCACACAGAGATAGTGCTGCTTCTCATTGCTTTGTTGTGTGTGAAGAAGATCTTGTTTAAAACATCTTTTGTGTACCTGACTGAATGAACATTGTGTTCCAGGCCACAGCACAAATGGAGGAGAAGCTGAAGACCTTTATAGACAACAATGCCACTCTGGATTTAGCTCAAGAATCAGATGCTGTGTTATGTTTCTTACACTATCAGGTATTTGCTTGCTAGATAACAGCTCTTTTAGTGAAACTCACTGCCAGCGGTTCTCAACCTGTGGGTCCCAACCCCTTTGGAGGTCGAACAACCTTTTCACAGATGTCGCCTAAGACCATGAGAAAATATATTCACTGAAATTATGAAGTAGCAACGACAATAATTTTATGGTCGGGGGTCACCACAACATGAGGAACTGTATTAAAGGATCGTGGCTCTAGAAAGGTTGAGACCTACTGCTGTTCACAGATGTTCTCTTGATATCCGCATCCAGGGGCTCGTCTTTCATTATCTTCTCTTGGCTTCTTCCGTGTTCATTCCTGAAAGGCCAGTTGGCACATTGTGTTTGTTTATAGTTAGACTGTGCACATTTTGGGCTAAAACATCTGAGTTCATCAGAGCCCTGATTTGTCGCCTTTTACAAAATGCTTGCTAAAGGGCTACTCCTCTTCTTTGTTCCTCTTCCTCCTCTTCTCTTTTTTTTTCATCTCCTGCATCTTTCCTTTCCTTCTGCTTTTTAATTGTATTTTTATTGTGACTGCTGTACAAGGGATCACTGAGTTAAAATATTGTTATTATGTTATTTTTTTCTGTAGCAGTAAGAGTGAGTTTAAACAATATTTATATATATATTTTGAAACTCCACTTAGTCATTGTTCCCATTTCTCATTGTGACATCCCACTCTGAAATGTGGAGTCATACACCTGTTTAGGAAGTAATGTAGATTGAATTAGAACTGATAGAGATATTAAAATATGATTAAAATGAAAACTCATACTTGAAATATTTAGCTCTGATATCAAATTAGTGCTGCTGTGTGCAGCAGAAACATGGAAAGCAACTAAAATGACTACTAATAAACTACAGACATTTATTAACTGGTGCCTGCACAGAATAGAGGGAATTAAATGGTATGATAGAATCACTTAATGTGGAGCTTTAGGAAAAAAACTAAACAAATTCTGATGAAACAAGAGGTGCTAAAAATTGCTGGCATTGGATAAGACACATGTTGAGAAAATCTGAGAACAGTATATCTTTACACTGGAACCCATAGATGCATAGATAAAAAAGGCAGGGGGAAAAACACCTAGAGAAAGGAGCTAAGGGTGAGGTTTATAAAAAAAGGGGGGGGGATATATGAGCTGCATGCGATAGCAAAGGATAAGACGACTTGGCATGAAGTGGTTGGGGTTCCTGTGCTCCGTTGGGGGATAAAGGGCACAAGAAGTAGAAGAGTGTTGGTAAGTTTTAAAAATCTTATTTGATCTCGAGTTGGCAAAATTGGTGTCTTCAAACAATGTATTGGTTTTGATTGCAACTGTTAACAGGTTCTGGAACTGGCTCGAGACTGCTTGAACAAGTCCATGGAGAAAGTCGTATCAAAATCTTACTTCTATGAAATGCTGGACAACCTAGAGAAGCTGCTACAAGATGTAAGTTTTTGGACACTTTTTTTTGCAGACAATATCAAATGTTTTTACTTTAGCACTTTTATGGTTTCATTAAGCAGAACCTTATATACCTCCTTTGGCACCTGAAGCTGTAAAAGAGCAAGTGAAGATGAAGACTTTTATTGTGTTGTTTTTTTCCATTTTCTTTGTTACCTTCTTCATTCACACTCATATGTAGGGCTATGATACAAAGAGGTGGCCATATCAGGTGGCACCGTAACAGGGGGGGGGGGGGGCATAAGCAGCAAAATCAAAATACAATTTAAATATTTAAGAGGCAGAATTTAGAAGTGAAAAACAAAAAAAGTAAAGATCCCTTTTCACGCTTTTAGGCGCATGGGTATATGGGAAGAGCACCCATATTTTTACAGACCAATCAGCACTAGCTGGGTAATGTGGTCAGCATTACGCCGGCCGTCTTTACTTCCCCAGGACATTTATCCTTGTACCCATTTTAGGCTGGGTCGACCTGTGACGCCTCATACCATGATAAAAATCCACATAGCTAGCAGTGGGTTTCGATCGCAGTACGTTGGAATTACGAGTCGGACTCGCAAAACACCTAAGCCACGGACAGAATTTCAAAGACTTGCATCATACTGATAAAATCTACCGCCCTGATCGTATGTTCCTGTTAATGTCTGTAATGAAAGCAGTGTCTGCTTTCAAGTTCATGAAATTTCTGTTTCTGGTTAAATGTAACTCATTCTGTTTTATGTAGGAAGATAAAATCAAAAGATGGACAGCAGCCTGTACAGCCAGGGTTGAGGATCCATTGCAGCCTGTCTTTTTTTGAAGGCTGCACACATGATTGATATTCTGTACTAATATTTTCTTAGCATTTACTGGCTATAAACTCTGGGCGAAAAGTTATGGTTGTTCAGACACTTACGGACTTATTCCACGTTTTTGTGTGCACATCCATATTTAAAAAAAAAAAAAACAGATCTGGCTTATTTATATGCAGAATATTGGTTCCTTGAAATGAGTTGTATTTTACAAAATGCTTGTGGGGAGGGGGGAGAGGGGGGCAGTGGGTCTTCTCTTATGTTGCTCCAAAATGAACCCCTGGAACACGGACGGTGACTGTCATAAAATAACTTGAACATATATGTGTAACAGATGAGGAGTCAAAATGTCAGCCGGCATTATTGACTAACATTTTTCCAGCTTTAACTCTTTTAGATCAAAGTTGGTTTCTTATTTCACTATTACTTGTTGTAGTATACATTGGCGGTATCTGATATAGAATTTCTAATGGCTTATGTAGGCTCGAGAGAGATCGTTGGATGCCTACAAGAATCTGTACCCCCTAGTCAAGCAGCTGTTGCTTATTGTTTCCAGACCTCTGAGGTTGTTGGAGTGTCTGGTAAGTGATATGTTTATTCAACACTTTTACTTTGTATACATGAACTTACTTACTTAGTCGATCCTTCCTCTTCTACCCTGGGGTGTAGAGGTTTGCCAGAGAGGTTTCTTGTTGGCTTTCTTTCATTCCAGTCAGGGACTGTCAGATGTTGTCTTCTCAGTGAACCTTGTCCTCATGGTCTGGTTTCCTGAAACTTATCCTCTCATGTCTGCCGTGGTGACCGATTCTCCCCCCGTTCTGCATACATTTCCAAACCATCATAACTGTGACTGATCCACTTAAGTTTGTAAGATCTGGATTTCAAGATCCTGACGTTTGATCTGGTTGTGAACTTTGTCCCATCTTGTCACTTGGACCCTTTTCTCAGATATTTCATTTCTGAGGCCTGAAGCTTGCTTTCGTGAGCTGTACTTTTATACGTGTAACAGTATATATTTATGGCTAGTATTTCTGGATAAAGATCTTCATTTTGCGTGCTGGTCAGACTCTAAGACCATGCTGGGACAAAACCTCAATATTTCCCACAATTCATTATTCTTTGTTTGATGCAGAGCTTGTGCATGATGCTGTGATACTGGATTTATCCAAGTGATCATAAAGTCCTATACATGGCTGCTATGGACAAAACATCTGTTGTGGAGTTTTTAAAAGATCTTATGAAATAAGTTGAGATTCTCTAAACATATCAGAAATAGCCTAGCCATGATTTGTGAGCTGCCATATTTGAATGGCAATTTTAAAATCCCAGTGACAGCTGGCAGACCTGATGGGGAAAAGAACACTGGGAAAAACTCAGAGATAAATATCTGGGTGTAAGCGTCATGGTACAATTGGGAAATAACCATAGACTTGATCTGAGGCTCTAGTGAATATATGAGATGGTTAAAAATGGCTGCCCACTCTTACCATTACACCACAGTACAATTGTGATGAGTTATGGTGGAATCATCTTTGCACCTTTTGCTTAGGGACTCTGAACACAATTTGACAATCCTGACACACAGTGGTGTAAAATAACTTGCAGGCAGTTTGGTTCTGTGCCACTTTACTTTGATTTCGACAACTGTGTGCTCGTTCAGAAAGCAGTGGCAGACTACTGATCTTAATATTGTCTAGTAAAACCACACAACGGCCAATAAATGCTGGGGTTATTTTCTGATATCCCGAAGAAGACTGGTAACATATTCTACCATGGTTGGCAGACTGCAAAGTCTGACAAAGAGAGAATCTTCTTCTTTTTCAAAACTTTGCGAAAGTTCTGGGCTTTAGTCTTTTGTTCCAGAACCTAAGTGTTGCGTGTACATCTGTTCTACAGGTCCGACTTATTTGTATGCAGATTGTTAGTTCCTTGCCTCTCAGACAGATGTACTCCAACTTCAAAGGAAGCCCCCAGTCAATTGACTCTTACGACATGTTAGCTGGGGAGGCAGTGGGTCTGTTCTTGTTTTCCCTGCAATGAGGCTCCTGAACCGAATTATTAATTTTTGTTTTAGTTTTTAAATCCTCCCTCCCCGCCTTCATGATTGCAGTGTGTAGGATTAACATGTCAAGGGTGTGAATCAAACAGGCACAGATTCCAGAAAGCCTCTTCGGCAGTATAGCCAAATAGTACAGATATATTGAGGAGTGGTTACATTGTTAGACTGTCAGGTGGGAGTACCAAGTTCAACCCCTGGTAAGATGATGGGGTAAAAATAAACATCCTAACCTTCACAGTCCATAGCGACAGCACTAGCCATGTGACCCTAAATGCTCAGGCTCAGGTCACTCCATCTACGTTGTTGTAAAAAGCAGTTTTTACAGGTAGTTGCAAGTTTTTAAAAAAAATGTTATGGCATCACAAAATGGTTTCAGAGTAACCCGTATTCCAATGTGGGTGGGTCTGTTCTCACTGTAGATGTGGCAGATTATTATTTTGGACTATTCTTGCTGGATAATCACATTGTTTGTTGTTCATTCCCCATTTATGTAACCAGTGTTATCACCATGAGAAAAAACAGTTGACTGTTTCATTGTTTCCCTAATGCAGGAGTTTGATCCAGAAGAGTTTTATATGCTTCTGGAAGCCGCAGAAGGTCAGGCTAAGCAGACTATCAAAGCTGATATCCCCCAGTACATAATTTCAAAGCTAGGTCTGGCTGGAGATCCACTGTCAGGTACTCTACTGACTGGGACAGAGTCATTATCATTTGCTCTATGTAGATTTCATATGGTGTGTTATGTCCAGGGCATCTAGGTGTGTTGGGAAATTAACAGGTAGAAAGACTGGCTTGTTCTACAGCACTTGGTGGTAAACTGATGCACGACGAGCTAGATGTTGCCAACACCCTTGGGAGTGAGTTAACAGTGCACAATTGGATAATCATGGACGGAAGAGAATGATGCAGCAGGGAGTGACCTTCGGATCTGGCCAACACTCTATACCAGAGCTACTCAACTGGTGACCTGTGGGCTAAATATGGCCAGCAGAGGTCTTGCAAGTGGCCCGCAGACCATTGTCAGTTGTTTTGTATTAATGATCTTTCTATGCTGAGGCTCAGGCTTCTGGCCCCGGACGAATCCCCATTTAAAACAATTTGGCCCCCTGAGTGAACTTAGTTAAGTAGCCCTGCTCCTCACTAAGAAGATAGACCAGGTGGACATACGGTGAGACTGCTGCTGGTACTCTTTTCTGGCTGCTGAAGATGGGGATGGAGCACTTGGGGTAATGTCTCGAGGGCTGTAATGTCAATTCTTGAAACTCAGCTGATGATTATGATCTGTTGTCAGGCGTATTTCTCATACATCTGTCTTGTGTTGTTTTTCAAAGACCGAATATAAGTGTGGGAGAATAATCTATAGAAATGAACAAAGTATAGGTTATCAATGCCAGGCTTGAATATTTACATGTTTACAGCAGAGGAGAAGAAGAAACTTGTAATGTCTGATTTTTTTTAAAATTATGAACGATTGAAATAGCAGAATTATAAATATTGTGGGAAATAACATGCGAGCAACCAGTTTCATTTTACCGGTACAAAAATAAGAGGCTGACCACAGAAGAAACAGATAAAGGAGTGCAAACAGCTGCAAAAATGATGCCACTTTCTGTATTGTAAATCCTGTAGCCCTCAGAAAGCAGTAAGATGTCCTCTTCGTGTTAAATTAGTAATAAGTGGCTGGCAGGCAAAAGTTGCAAACAATATGTCAGCCCTCTATACTGGAAACCCACGCAGTATTTTACAGAAGAGAAAGAGATGTCGTTTAGAGACAAAAGGAAGGGTATGTATGTAGGCAGATGAATGCCCTTGAGAGGTCAAATCCGGCAGTGATTAGTGACACCATCCTTTGCTACATTTGGATGGTGTCTAAACAAAAGTTCACTATTCGTGTAATTTTCATTGACACTATTTAGAGATGGAAAAAAAAAAGTGTATACAAAATACAAGATAAAATCTAGGATACACTTCACATTTGTATCTGTAGAAGTGGGTCTTAAGTGTGCCTAAGAATTAGAAGTGCAGACGTGTGCACATGTTTTTTCTACTTCAGAGGGCAGAACATTTTCAAGTATTTGGCTACTTATATACACCATGTGTAACCTTTTATGGTCAGCCTGACACTGGACAGACTTACTTTCATTTGTGAACTCATTCAGCCCCTGAAGTTGACAGCAGCGGCTGCTCACTGGGAGGACAAACAGTAATAACATCACAAGTGGGTTATTTGACTGGGGGCCAAACACACACAGTTTGTAGAAGATCAAATGCATTGTACAACTTTCTTGTATGCTGTGACTAAGAGCTTTGTAGAGCCAATCCTACTGTACGGAAGTGAATGATGGATGGTCAGGTGACTACTGAGGAAATTATGTGGAGGCTACAGATATTTAGTGTTACAGAAGAGCAATGAAAACAATGTGGGTGGATAAAAAGCTTAATGAGTAAGTATTAAACAGAAATGAACTTACAAAGAGAACTGTTTATCTGCTTCAGAAGACAGTGGATATTTTTGGGGCATGTTTTGAGAAGGGGAAAACTGGAGTATCTCTTGACAACAGGCAAGTTGGAGACTAAACAGAAAACATACAACAAAAACAAAAAGAATAAGAATAAGCAGGAGGAGATAAGAGGGAGATGGTTAGACCATATGACTTGGACTGTAAGAAGATAATTAAACATAAGAAGTAGGGCCAGAGATGTGCCTTGATTGATACACAGTAAGAAGGGCCAGTCATACATGGTGTTGCCTGTATCAGAAAGGGTTACAATGTTTGAAAGTCAAACATCTCAACTAATCAGCTTATTTAATATCTACCTTGAGATGGGCAGTGTTTCTTTCGCTAGTATGTACTTGCAGTTAATTAGAGGTGAGAAAAGTCTAAATGTATATTCTAAATTCTTCTACTTCTTCTTCGTGTTCACCAGCTGTAAACTCTGGTAGAAATGTATGGGTGTTCATCCACCTTCAGACTTTGGTTTTGCTCCAGACCTGAGTGGTGCGTGCACATCTGTTTCACACATCTGGCTTATTTGTATCCAAACTCTTGGTTCCTTGCCTCTCAGGCAGAGTTACTCTGAGTTAAAAGGATGCTCCATGTAGCTGACATCTGTGACATGATTGTTGGGGAGGCAGCAAGTCTATTCTTGTTTCCCCCCACAGTGGGACCCAAGAATCCACACAAGGATATTCAAAATTCAGATTTGCAGCAGTTTTGGTGCCTTGCCCATGTGTAGTATTTTCTTGAGGTTATCTATGTTTTGTTATCTTTGTTTTCTTATAGATCCATGTTCAGATCATTTGTGTGTATGTGTTGGTGTTGTTATAGGGGTTAAATGCTGTTATCAGTTGTTGATCTGGTTTCATACTCATTAAATGTTCAAACCACTTTATTAAGGTCTCTCAAAGGAATTTGACAAAGTTATGTTTCAGATAATGTCATTTTACATTCAGCATTTACAGTCAGCCTATAAGATACATAAATAATTGTTTCTCTCTCTCTCTTGCAGAAATTGCACCAATAGATCACTTCGACACATCTGATCTTACTGAAGGAGATAAGGAGGAAGATGCAGAGTTTGAGGTGAGATTTGCAATACAGTTATAATGTGAATGTATCTTTGTTGCTTTTGCATATATACCAGAGGTCCCAGAGAAAATGCTGGACAATTTGTTAGAATTGTTTATATTGAAGACAGTCAGCAGCAAACATTGAAAACATGGGATAAAAATGGTTGTGGGGAGATAGTATATGACCTATGCCAGCCGGCATTGCACATGATGATGATGATGATGAAATGTAAAGTAACACACTTTTTTTTTATTCTTCTTCGGCTTCCTGCATAGTGCTCTTGTCTGGCCACACCCCTTTTTAACATTTTGTTCTTGCAGTCTGGTCATGGCTGCAGATTCACAGTCTATCACATAGTTCTTCCAAACGTCTTACTTCTCATAGAGCATTCAGTATATCAGCATGGTCCATGGGACATCCGCTGGCCACAGTAGTTTGAACCAGTGTAACACAGTAGCTAGCATACTTACCAGCAAGCCCAGTGGTCTTCTCCTTCCTTTTCTTCTTCTCTAGTCCTGTTTTAACTTTCAACATCAAGTTTTAAAGAGGTATCAGGTGCGAGCCTTGGTGTGTGCTATGTAAATAACCTCATTTGCTGCCTCTGATATTCCATCTATTCATCGCTTGCATGGTGGGCCCTTAGTTTTGCTTTTATTGTGTCTAAGTGACAGGGCTCTCTGAGGTGTCCTGCCTGGTAGTAGTCCTAACTCATGTCCAAACCATTTGATCTGTTGTCCCTTGATGTAGTTTAGGACTGGTTTCCTCTCAGCTTTCTTCCTGATATCATCATTTCTGATCCTGTCTCTTATAGTTAATTTAGAATTCATTGTAAGACATCGCCCGGTGGTCATAAGTTGAAACCATCATTGATTTGGGCATTTTCTATAGTTTACAAGAGCAAGAAGTTCATTGTCATCATCAGGTGCCTTGCCGACTGGCGTGAACCATCATGCCTCTCCACAATCTGCGATCTCCTGCAGCATAAATCACTTCGTTTGCCAACACACCTCCATGCCATGCAACAAGACTGTCAAGAATCTTCTCTTGTTGTTTTCCTCTGTCCCTCCTTCCACAGATCTTTCCAGTGGTCACAATATGTTCTATTTTCCCTCTTCCCATAACATGGCTGAAAAATGATGACTGTCTCCTTATGATGTCTGTGATAAGTTGTCTTCAGGCTCCCGCCTCTTTTAAAACCTCTTGGTTGCTCTTTTTGAAGAAGGCCAGTCCAGCTTAAAATTGGTACCAGACACACACACACACAGAATATCTAGAAAGTAAAGATGGCCACAAAGATATTAATCACATCGAGTGGTGACTGATTTGTAAAATTATCAACTTATCACCATCATCACACGACACCTCAAAATTGTTCCATAAATTTTAGTTTAAAACAAAAATTGTTCTTACTTCAGCACTAAAATCTGACGATTTCCTGGAGGAGTCTCTATGGTGAAGTGGTCAAGCCTTTTGCCTCACGCTGTGAAGGTCATGGGTTCATTTCATGAGTGCACTTTTTAATAGGGATCCATGATGATCATCACTGGAGCTATAGAGTTTGTGCGACAGTGTCAGCAGGCAGCTAGCTGCTCTGTGGAGAGAGACTGAGCCATATGGGATAAAACCTGATGCAACCTTTACCTTTACTGTTTTGAGATATTAGTTAGTCATTGGTCACTGTTCCAACATCTTGGCCAAGAGGTTGCACATAATTGCTCAGTTCCTGTGCCAGGGAACATCACACAAAATGCTGCTTGCTATCCCATTTCCTTTTCATCTACATTCACCCCCAGAAGGGTAGTTGGCACATTATTGTGTAGTTTACAGCTAGGCTGTGATATCTATCGGCTACAGAAAAATCTTGATTAGTCACCTTTTACGACATACTTGTTGTTAAGGGGCAGTGAGCCCCACCCCCAACACCTGGAACCCTGCAACCCACATGGGGAATTGTCCTATTTTCAAAACTAGGGAACAGTAGATGTTCAGTGTTACCATGAAGCTAACATTGTCTTAGTTTCACAATAGAGTTTTATATCTGCAGGAATCGGAAGTCACATTGAACAAACCCAAACTGCCGTGTGAGGATGACTATGAGACAATTAAACTGATCAGCAATGGAGCATATGCGTAAGTTGATCTGTGGTTTTCAGTTTCATAAAAGTATTTGTATTGCACTGTATAAATCATGTCCTTAACATCATGATAAAAATATTGAAGTCATCGCTGTGTTCGTGGGAACGAAAGGAAAGCAAGGTACGGTAACTAACCTACTATGCATGTATGTTACAAGAGGCAGTTAGGCCACATTAGGCAAAAGATGATATCATAGAGACTAGAAAAAAATTTAAAAAAAAAAAAAAATTCACAATAAAACCCCTCAGATGCTATTTTTAGTTAATATAATCATATTTGGTCCTTGTAAACACTGTGCAGGTGCAGACAGAACTAGTACCATTAACTCAGCTTGATGGTGACTGACTGGTGCAGCAAAGCCGATATATAGGCTTCACGGAATTGGTAACAGACAGCAGAGCCAAAATATTGGTCTTCCAGGGTTAAAGGGTTGAAAGTAATCCTCTGGGAAGCAGTTGATGGCAGGCAGAGAGGAGAAGGGCAGAGGACATCTTGAACTCATTGCATTGAAAGCCAGACTGGATATATTTTTTCCATGCTTGTGCATGATATTGAGGACAGAGTAATGTGAGACTTTGATTGCTGCTGCTTCCATCATGACATCCCTTTAACTCATATGTCTAGGATTTCTAGATGAGATGACACAATTTAGTGAAGCATTGCGCATCAAGATCAGTTAATTTTATCTAACACTCAATTATGAGAACAGTCCTAGAAAACAGGTCTGACCTCAGGGAGCTACTATATAACAATAGTCAGTGCTACCTGTTCTCTAATGCCAAATGTTGGGCTGCGAATACCAGACCTAACATCCCATGCCATTTCAGGGGATTCATGTGGAGCAGCATAGTGAGAAGGATACTGGCCTTATCCTAGGAAGACAGATTGCCCCTGAAAACATAATGTTATGACAGAGCTGTGGTTTGCAGCTGCTCTAGAAGGGAAGCTCTGACAGGTGGTCAAACAGAGCACTGCTCTTCTGATCTGGTAGCTAGGGCTGCATGCTTTGTTCCAAACATTCTTGTGTTTCCTTTGGAGAAAACAAGACAAGCAGAGCAGAGATCATGCTGCATGGGCAACACATGGTCTGTACAATACTGTCCAGGCTTTGTGCTATGGAGAGGAGAAGCTCCATGCCTTCCTTTAGCACAGTGGTTCTCAACCTTCCTAATGCTGCGACCCTTTAATACAGTTCCTCACGTTATGGTGACCCCCAACCATACAATTATTTTTGTTGCTACTTCATAACTTCAGTGAATATGGGTTTTCTTAGACGACCTCTGTGAAATGGTCGTTTGACTCCCAAAGGAGGCGCGACCCACAGGTTGAAAACTACTGCTTAAGCACAATATAACACAATTTGGAAAGGTGCCAACTAAACCTACCAAGGAAACGGGCGGTGAAGACAGTTTTAAAGGGCATATAATGTGTGTAAATGGACAGGAAATAAAAATGAACAGATAATATGAAATACCAGTAGAAGCAAGTCATGCAGACTACGGTAAAGAGTTAATGCCCAGTGTTTTCTTTTTGAGAAATGCAATGTGTTGAAGATTGACATACACACATGTTTTTATGTTTGTTAGTGTTTGTAGCTTAGGGGTTGTGAACACTGTTTCACATTGTTGAAATATTATTGTTCAGAGTCAGATTATTTGGTAGCAGACCACTTCACATTGATTTTGACAGTGGTATGAGTGTCATACCTTTCACAAAGCAGAGGCAAACCATTAAATGCAAAGTTTCCTAGTTACTTTTCTGTATCGATATCCTAGCACAGCAGTCCAACCCATGTATCCTCCGTCCTCCAACGCAGCAGCAATCTCGGTGTCTCCATGCTCAGCATACCCACTAGGAGTTGATTGGCATATCTTCTCTCTTCAGCCAGTTTGTGCACGCTTGTCCTTGTTTAGTACCCATTCCCAGCCGGCGGGTTCATCATCTCTCAACACCTTCATTTCAATGTCTGAGCCTTGTCCATACTTCTTCCTCCACCAGCCACCGAAGACACAGTCATGCTGTTGATTCTTTCATTTCCTTTCACCCCGCCTTGCCCCAGTGTGTACAGTCAAGACAGTTTCCTAATAAAACCACACATCATTGTCATCATGTGCCCTGCCAACTGCCGTAGGCGCTCATGTGTCTCCACAGATCATGATCGCTAGTTGCCTGGAACAGCTGTCTTGATGATTTCCCTCCATGCAATCGTTTCAGCCCATCTAGCATCATCACTCTTGGTCTGCCTCTACCCCTTTTTCCACTTATCTTTCCAGTTGTCATGATGTTCTCTAATGTCTCTCCTCTCAATATCTTGTTGTATATAGAGATCTACTTTCATTAGCTTCTTTCAAGCAATCGTTGTTAGTTACTCTGGCCAACCATGGTATTTGTAACATTCATCTCAGAAACCACAAAAAACTACACAACAGTGTAATTGCTAGGTTTATGTTGTGAGAAATATATCCAGCTACCTTTACGCTTTTTTTCAGGGCGGTGTATCTGGTGCGTCACAAAGAGACACGACAAAGATTTGCCATGAAGAAGATCTGCAAACAGAATTTGATCTTGAGGAATCAGATTGAGCAGGTGTTCCTGGAGAGGGACATCCTGTCCTTCACTGACAACCCCTTTGTTGTGTCCATGTATTGCAGTTTTGAGACTAAGGTAAGGGCATTCACTTGATGTCACTCTAGCTCTCATTGTCTGCTGTCCAACCCCTTTGTTGTGTCCATGTATTGCAGTTTTGAGACTAAGGTAAGGGCATTCACTTGATGTCACTCTAGCTCTCATTGTCTGCTGTCCAACCCCTTTGTTGTGTCCATGTATTGCAGTTTTGAGACTAAGGTAAGGGCATTCACTTGTTGTCACTCTAGCTCTCATTGTCTGCTGTCCGACCCCTTTGTTGTGTCCATGTATTGCAGTTTTGAGACTGAGGTAAGGGCATTCACTTGATGTCACTCTAGCTCTCATTGTCTGCTGTCCGACCCCTTTGTTGTGTCCATGTATTGCAGTTTTGAGACTAAGGTAAGGGCATTCACTTGATGTCACTCTAGCTCTCATTCTCCGCTGTCAGCTTGTTTTTTTTGTGTGTGTGGGGGGGGGGGGGGGATGTGAATAAGGAATTAGGGGTGGCCATGGTGTTGCGGCTAGATACTTACCTCCAGATTTGAAGGTCGTGGGTTCAGATCCACATGGTGACAGATATTTTTCAAACATGACCTTGGTCCCCGGGTCATGTAAGGAACCCAATGCAAATAGGTTCCAGTGTACACTGCTGCTCTGTGTAAACAAAATGAACGTGGTAAATTTTGCAAACACCATTTGTAATCATGAAGCTAATATTTAATTTCTGATGGAGAGATGTAAACTGTCACTAGACATTGTGATTTATGTATATCTGTGAAAGGAGTTACTATTGTTAGTGCTTCATTGTATGTTACTGTAACTTCTAACACCTAACACGATACATCTAAATATGCCAGGCAGTAAATTGTGCAATGTATTGTTTGTGTCCCCATTATTTCAGTAATGTTGATTTATCTCCCTTACCAGAAACATTTGTGTATGGTGATGGAGTATGTGGAAGGAGGAGACTGTGCCACTCTCCTGAAGAATGTTGGCTCTTTGGCTCTGGACTTGGCCAGGTAACTGTTAGTTGAGGCTTCTAACTCCAGTGAGACTGACTACTTCTTTTATACTCTTGTAGGTTGCCACAAGGTTCACCTCCCCCCCCCCCCCCCAGTTTCCCAGTTTTGATGCATTGTTACAGAACTTTGAGAGCCTCAGTAGCTTGCAAGTTTTTTGTGGGATTAAAGTTAGGAAAAATATTTGAAAACTAACCAGGAAAAATTAAAAGAACATTTGTTGAAGTTTCCAGTGCACAAATAGTGCCAAAATGATTTTGACAGTTGAAATGTCGGCAACAATTCTGTGAGAGTTATTTTGCTTTAAATGTTACTGTTTTCTTGAGTTTGAAGCTGGAAATAATAGTTTCTTTCTCTATATATACACACACATACATATATATATTCATACACACATAAACTAAATATAACCAACATTAATTCTACCTCTTATTGTCACTACATAGGCAGAATCCCTCTATACCAGTGATTCCCAAACTTTGCGCCGCGGCAACCCGAGGGGTCGCAACCTCTTCACAGGGGCGCAGCGAAATTTTCAAAGATCCACAACTTTAATTTTTTTTTATCTCTTACATACGAATAGTCATACTTTTACTTAGTTTAGGGGGCCTTTGAAAAATTGTAATTAAAAAAAGGGGCCGTGACTAAGAAAGGTTTGGGAAACACTGTCCTATACACAAACAGCTCTTAAGTTAGTGGGGGTTTTTTGTGTGTGTGGGTGCTATGTTTGCTTAGCTTAATTTGGGAACTGCAGTCACAAAGAGGCTAGATGCTTAGTGGCCTGAAAGTTGTGAATTTGAATCCGCATTGAGTCGGATTTTGTCATGAATGTCCTTTGTTTTCAGGTTGACCCAGCCTAAAATGAATTCCGGGTAAAGTACTGGGAAGCAAAGGTGACTGACGTTATGTTGACCATACGTCCATATCGAATGCTGTTTCTTCTTCTTCTTCTTCTTCTTCTTCTTCTTCTTCTTCTTCTTCTTCTTCTTCTTCTTCTTCTTCTTCTTCTTCTTCTTCTTCTTCTTCTTCTTCTTCTTCTTCTTCTTCTTCTTCTTCTTCTTCTTCCTCAGCATTCCGAGCCCTTGAGGTTCATTGCTGCAGATATCACCCGCCTCCATTCATCTCTCTAGTTGGCCTTCTCTTTCCATTTGGTGACACCAAGTATTTGCAAGTCTCTCTGGACATTATCTCTCCATCATCTTCTTGGTCTGCCCCATGGGCTACGACCATTCATCTCCCTTGTGTATACTGTTTTTACTTCTCTGTCATCTGACATTCTTTCAATATGCCCCAACCATTTCAGACTATTAGCTCTCATGATGCCAGTGATCAAAGGTGATTTAAACAGATTATGAATTTCGTTGATGCTTCTCACTCTTCATTCCCCGCTGTTTGCATCTTTGATAGGTCCAAAGATTTGTCGTAAGACTCTGTTTTCTAAAATCTGTAATCAGGCTTCATCTCTTTTAGTTGTGCTCCAAGTTTCAGAGCTATATAAAACAACTGGTCTTATCAACATCCCCATCGAATGCTGTTTGATCTATGAAAGTATGAATCTAGCATCTAATCCTTTGATGCCAGTATTAATTTGGAGAGGAAGTAGGTGGTACTGTTGTAAGTCCGTTAAAGTACAGTCAGTAAATGGACAGATGTGGAAAAAAAACAGGTCAGCTTTAATAGAACATAAACATTCTGCCACATGTGTTTGTTGTTTCTGTAATTGATTTCTTTAGTTTTAATGAGCTTGCTTGCTTGCTTGTTTTACCCCACCAGGACATCACACAAGCGATAAACACCTGGTGACAGAGTGCCACAATGAGGATTGCCCATGGAGAGGTCACAGAAACCCCTTTCAGCCATTATGGCCACATTCATGGCCTGGTTATTATATTCAGAGACCCCTGCAAAAGCCAGGATGGGGCTTCAAATAACAAAAAATTGCATCCCATATGGGGAGGAGTTTTATGATTGTTTTAATGAATCCCTGGATAGGGGATATGCAAATGAGTAGGACATATTCCATGGGAACAAAAGCAATGAATACAGAGATTTTTTTTTAAATGGGAATGAAAAGAAGGTGACAGAAAAAGAAGAAGATAAGTTAAATAAAGACCAACAACACGAGATGACCAGCTGCAGTTTCATAACATGTACATCCAGAGTGAAAGCCAGAGCACGTTAAAATTGCATTGCAGCCAACTTTTGCTGTGGAGATGGCACTGAATTGATTGAATTGTGCTTATTATCATCAAGTATCTTGCTGACTGGCAGTGGCGATCATAACTCTCCACAACCTGCGATCCCCAGCAGCATGTATTAGTTCATGTTCTGAGACACCTCCATGCCATGACAAAAGGTAGTCAAGAATCCTCTTGCCCTAACTTTTATCTTTGTGCCAGGTCATGCGGGTGTTCAAGGGAACGAGCGTGCAGACTATCTTGCTGACACTGCAGTTGCTGTGGCTTGTCCAGTACTGGACAGAAGTGATGTTATCAATGCCATGCGTTGCACTTACCGTACCGAGGAGCACGCCAAAGGACACGACTCCGTAAACCCTGTCTAAACTGATGGACATGGGGGTGCAGCCTGGAGCTGCAAGAAATGAACGTTTCCCTAAGGGGACAAGACATTTCATTAACCAACACAGAACAGGCGTCAACAGTCATTTTACACTTGTGGAGCTTTTGAGGAGGAGATCGGAGCATCTATAGATCTGTCCGGAGTGCTGTGATGATAATCCTTTCTAATCATTAATCACTTCTTGCCAAAAGTGCTTGACTAGATTCCATCTATTTAATTAATTGCAAAGGACAAAACCAAATGGAAGAATAGACTGTGAGCCCTATGTGGTTATATAATGGCACAGCAGGTCAGTGATGATGATGATGCATAGTTTGTGTCATGTATGTTACTGTATTAAGTGTCTGTTTCTCTTACAGAATGTACTTTGCAGAGACAGTTTTGGCCCTAGAATATCTCCATAGTTACGGGATTGTGCATCGTGACCTAAAACCAGACAAGTGAGTTTGTAGCATGTGTTGTGGGTACCTCTGTTGTTGTATGTAACCAGTGTATAACTTTCTATAGTATACTTGTCTGCTACATAGATGTCCAAGGTAGCTAAAACAAGGCTTGTGTCTTTACATAAATGGGTAGCAAACCAGAGGTGGTGTTTATACATTTTAAGTTATTAGAGCAAAGACAGTATTTATACATTAAAAGTTATTTGCGCAAAGATGATGTTTATACACTATAAGTTAGCAGAGCAAAGACAGTATTTATTCATAAGTTAGTAGAACAGAGATGGTATTTATACACTATAAGTTACTAGAACAGAGATGGTATTTATACACTATAAGTTACTAGAACAGAGATGGTATTTATACACTATAAGTTACTAGAACAGAGATGGTATTTATACACTATAAGTTACTAGAACAGAGATGGTATTTATACACTATAAGTTACTAGAACAGAGATGGTATTTATACACTATAAGTTACTAGAACAGAGATGGTATTTATACACTATAAGTTACTAGAACAGAGATGGTATTTTATACACTATAAGTTACTAGAACAGAGATGGCATTTATACACTATAAGTTACTAGAACAGAGATGGTATTTATACACTATAAGTTACTAGAACAGAGATGGTATTTATACACTATAAGTTACTAGAACAGAGATGGAATTATACACTATAAGTTACTAGAACAGAGATGGTATTTATACACTATAAGTTACTAGAACAGAGATGGTATTTATACACTATAAGTTACTAGAACAGAGATGGCATTTATACACTATAAGTTACTAGAACAGAGATGGTATTTATACACTATAAGTTACTAGAACAGAGATGGTATTTATACACTATAAGTTACTAGAACAGAGATGGTATTTATACACTATAAGTTACTAGAACAGAGATGGTATTTATACACTATAAGTTACTAGAACAGAGATGGTATTTATACACTATAAGTTACTAGAACAGAGATGGTATTTATACACTATAAGTTACTAGAACAGATGGTATTTATACACTATAAGTTACTAGAACAGAGATGGTATTTATACATTATAAGTTACTAGAACAGAGATGGTATTTATACATTATAAGTTACTAGAACAGATGGTATTTATACATTATAAGTGTGGCGCGGTGATTTCGGTCACAGGCATGAGGGGAAGTTAAGTCTGATGTGATGTGTATAAGGAGATATTCCGTACCCCACTCGGGCGCCAGTACTTCACTGTTCTGGTTTTACGGAACCTCATGCAAGACTCCTGTTGCACGTCCCCGTCGTGCGCCACGGATAATGTCTCAAATGAGCATTAACAGAGTTGGCAGGGGATCTCGGAGCTGGCGGCCCCCAGAGGTGTAGAGTCCTTTCTGGCTCTCACCAGCCCGCCCCCAAACGCATGGGTGAAAAGTAGCAAAACTCAAGGACTGCTTGCTAAATGTACCATCAAATGACAACTCTTGGTTAAAATTCGGGAGCGAATGGAAAACTGTGCTGCTGAGACTCAACCCTGACCGAGAGATTTACCCGCAGCCAAGACGAGTAACATCTCTTGTGGGCGACTTCTCGCAGCAAGATCCCACCTACGTACATCCTCTGTCAATCCTCAGCGTCGTCGTCACCGCGCTGAGGTACACCATGGCAGCAACTATTCATATGCTGGCTTGAAAACAATGTCCGACAAAGTTACACCCCACGGCACACATGCAAGCTCAAAGTCCGACGATCATAACTCGTACCGATTAGGAAAAGTCTGAATGTCTGTATCCACTGGTCCAACTCGCCCGAGTGTTGGGACCAAACAGGTGAAGCCACGCCTGACGCATTTTGCTTCCCCATTCTGTCGTGCTAAGGGCACAGCTGAAACAACGTTAAAGGTGTCTAACGTAAGATGAAAAAGAATGTACATATTTGTGTGGCCACAAACGTCCTAGACCTGCGGGCTGCTCCCCGCTGATCTCCGGAGAGCGCAGCCTTGTAGCGCGGGAAGCTCAATACACGGTTGTGAGGTTAAGCAGTCATGGGCAGGACGTGACGATTCCTTGGGTGAGCCCAGAACCAGAGCATCATGTGTCGGCTCTGCATTTATGGAAGCCTCCTTGGATGGCGGGGAATGCCCATGATCTGCCCCTGCCTTCCCTTGAGGGCTGAAAACTCTACATAGAGCTGCCTTAAGGACGACATGCCGGGGACCACACAGTCAACCTAGAAATAGGCTTGACGTCTTCCTCCGAAGTCGGAGTACATCTGCCTGAGAGGCGGGGAACGAGTACTGCAAACAAATAAGCCAGTAAAAGGGATGTACACGCAAAACTCAGGTCAAGGTAAAAGCCAAAAGTCCATTTTGGACGAACAACCGTGACTTACCGCCGGAATTCACAGCCGGTGAACAAGAAGAAGAAGAAGAAGAATACATTATAAGTTAGTAGAACAGAGATGGTATTTATACACTATAAGTTACTAGAACAGAGATGGTATTTATACATTATAAGTTACTAGAACAGAGATGGTATTCATACATTATAAGTTAGTAGAGCAAAGACGGTATTTATACAGAAGTTAGTAAAACAAAGATGGCATTTATATGCTGTTAGTTACTGGAACAGAGATGGCATTTATACACTATAAGTTACTAGAACAGAGATGGTATTTATACATTATAAGTTAGTAAAGCAAAGGTGGTATTTATAACTTGGTAGAGCAAATATGTGTGTGCTTATAAGTTAGTAGAGCAAAGATTACATTTATGCCAAATGTACATGAACAGGTTTTTAAACATTTCTGTATCGAAGAAAGGAAGAGGAGTTACAAACAGTCAAGACAGCACATGTAATTGCAGAAAAATGTTTTATTGGTTATCTTGTGCTAGTCCACTATTTCTTACACAAATCAGCAATCATTAGGTGTCAACATTATGTCGGCCGCATTTACTGCCCATAATTGCACCTGAAACCTATTTAAGCCTGGACAGACCTGGGAGCAGGAAAGCAATCATCTCAAACCATAGCTAAGACATTTTTCTGGCACCAAAGCCTTGGTTGGATATAGTTCAAACTTACAAGTAGCAGCCAGACGACAGACTGGAGCACTGAAGCTACCAGCTACCAGAGTCATCAGGTGACTGTGTTGCCCCATGAGCCTGAATTTGCCTTCGCCAACAGAGGTAACTTCTTACCAAGGAAGAAATATTTATTATTTTTGCTAATCAATGTTATAATATTAATCCCCAAATATTTTCTCTCCATCTCCAGTTTACTGATCACAGCACTGGGACATGTAAAGCTGACAGACTTTGGGCTCTCCAAGATTGGGCTCATGAGCTGTAAGTTTCAAGTCCACCAGTGTTTTGTCTGTTGTATATTATAATATACAAAGCATTAGATTCTTCTCTTCTCTAATATAAACCAGGCATTTATTTGCTGAAAATTATTTAAAAAGAGACTTTGTTATTTTTCATATTTACTGATCACTATTTAATGATGCCACTCAATGTTTATCTCACTATTATTATCTCTCTTCATTTGTATCTATGAATGTACAGATTCGGCCAATTAAAAAAGTCTATGCAGTAATTAGCCAGCAGTGAAATGCATACACATTTTCATAGAGGCCGCTTGTTTAAAAAAATCATCATTATGTGACATTTTCGGCCGTATTTAGATCGAATTACGGTACCTTTGTTTTGTATTCTGGTTATGAAAAGTTTATATGGGATGTATGTATACATGTGTGTATGTATCCATGTATGTACAAGTATGTGTATAAAAATGTGTGTGTGTTTGTATGAGTATGTATGTGTGCATGTATATTTGAATGTCTGCTTTTGCTATCCATTCTTTGAACTTTTACTTTATATTCATTTTGTTTGTATTTCTATGAATGTCACATATTTTATTGATAGAATACAATTGCTGTGTAAATGAGTTTTTGGAAGGTTGGCCGAATGTCAGAGGGGCCTGTTAGCCCAGTTTGTGGGCCTAAAAAGATATGGTTCACACACGTGTATGTTCGTACACTGTAGTTTACTTATTAGAACACTTAATAATAATAATAATTTTTTTTTTTTAAATAATCAGTAAAATGAATGATGTTCTCAGTGACGACGAACCTCTATGAGGATGCCCTTGACAAAGATTGTAAGCAGTTCCGAGACAAGCAGGTGTTTGGGACACCTGAGTACATCGCTCCTGAGGTCATCCTGAGGAATGGCTATGGGAAGCCAGTTGACTGGTGGTCAATGGGTATCATCTTGTATGAGTTCCTGGTGGGCTGTGTTCCTTTCTTTGGTGACACTCCAGAGGAACTGTTTTCACAAGTTGTTAATGGTGAGTTTAATGAAAAGAAGTCTCTGTTTCAATGGTTTTTGGTCAATTCTATTGAATTCTCTTCTTCTTCTTCCTTCTTCTTCTTCTTCTTCTTCTTCTTCTTCTTCTTCTTCTTCTTCTTCTTCTTCTTCTTCTTCTTCTTCTTCTTCTTCTTCTTCTTCTTCTTCTTCTTCTTCTTCTTCTTCCTCCTCCTCCTCCTCCTCCTCCTCCTCCTCCTCCTCCTCCTCCTCCTCCTCCTCCTCCTCCTCCTCCTCTTCCGCTTCCGCTTCTTCTTCTTCTTCTTCTGCTTCTGCTTCTGCTTCTTCTTTGTGTTCACTGGCTGTAAACTCCAGCGGTAAATTCTGGCAGTTCATCCACTTCTGGACTTGAGTATTGTTTTAGAATTTGAGTTCTGTGTACACATCTTTTTTTTACAAATTGGGGTCATTTGTATGCAGACTGTTGGTTCCTCACCTGTCAGGCTGTTGCATTTGAAGGACTTCAAAGGAGATTCCATAATTAGCTGTTTGTACGCCATGCTTGTTAGATGGCAGTTGGTCTGTTTTTTCCCCAGCAAAATGTGGCCCTGATCCAACACGGGGGATCCAATAAACAATGTTGCCATTTGTATTTTAACATTTTCTGTTTAAGGTTTATGCTCCAGTAGTTTATAAAACGAATATTTGTCATTTCTCTATAAGTATTTTCTTTGGTTTTTATTTTATTCAGTTAGGGCTTTCATTAGACATGTGTCCCCATAAGAGCTGCAGATTTCTCCCACTGAACACACAAAGATTATCTTTGCACAGTGCTTAGCTTTGTCGGGGATCCAAATTCCTTTTTCTTCTTCATGCTTACCAGCTGTAAACTCTGTTGGAAAGTTCACCCGCTTCTGGACTTTAGTCGTGTTCCAGAATTTAGGTTTTGCATGCACATCTGTTTTACAGATATGGTCTACTTGTATGCAGACTGGTGGTTCCTTGTGTCTCAGGCAGATGCGCTCTGACTTTAAAAGGGAAACCCTTAAGTGGTTGCCTCATATGCGCTAAAAAAAAAAAAAAGAGAGAGAGAACGCTATACAAGCCATTCATAAAGCAGAAGACCCACACACACCCAAAAAAAAAAGACTTACTTCATTGATGAAAACTTTGGTCAAAATATCCGCTTGTATTTATGCTGATCTTTCCATTCCCTCAGTAAAGCTTTCTAATGAGAGTTTCTGTTATAATTAGTACTGTTTTTACTATTGACTTCACGAGCTGTTTTACTGTCCACTATATCATCATATTGCGTCAGCATTAAACTTTATTAGAATAAGGAAGACACAAGCAATAGATTGTGCAATTTTATTGTCTGGCATATTTCGCTGTATCTTGTCAGGTGCATTCTACAGTAACAATTACATAAATAAGGCAAATAAATCCTTCATTTATGTAATTGTTACTGTAGTATGCACCTGACGAGATACAGCGAAATATGCCAGGCAATAAACTGTGCAACCTATTGTTTGTGTCTTCTTTATTCAAATTTACAACGGGGAAACATTGCTTTTACTTTATTAACCACATAATAAATAAATTATTATTCACTTTTTTTTTTAAAGAAAATATTCAGTGGCCTGATGAGGAAGACTGGCAAGTGAGAGATGATGCCAAGGATCTGATACTGGGACTACTCCAGCATGATCCCCTCCAGCGGCTGGGAACTGGTGGGGCCCATGAGGTCAAAGAGCATATTTTCTTCGCTGGCCTCAACTGGGAGAACTTGCTGCGACAGAAGGCAGAGTTTGTTCCACAGCTAGACAACGAGGAAGACACAAGTTATTTTGACAGTAAGTGGACTTTTTATAATTAAACATCTTAAGAACACTTGCTACTGCTGTCATTAATGGTGATGATGAAGGAGGAGTTTGATGATGATGATAATATTAGTTCAGTTTAAAGTTCACTTTGTAGGAAAGAAGGCTTGCTCAGTAAGTGAGAATAGTTCATACAGTTATTACTTGTTTTCGTTAGCAAGACCACTAATACTTTAAACTTGCCTTGCAGGGAACTTACAGAAGAATTCTTTGAATTAAATTATTCCTGCAATGTACCTTCTTGTCTCAAGGGAAATCTAACATTTATCCTTTCAGTATGTATTTTAGTCCAGAGTGGAATCTTATTTGTCCCAGCAGTGTACGATCTAGTCCAAAGTGAAATCTTACATTTATCTTTTCAGTGTGCATTCTCGTCCGAGGTGAAATCTTACTTTCGTCTTTTCAGTGTGCATTCTGGTGCAAAGTGATATCTTTAATTTGTCTTATCAGTATGTACTCTATTCCAGAGTGCAGTCTTATTTGTCCCATCACTGTTCATTCTAGTCCAAAGTGAAATATTACATTTGTCCTTTCAGTGTGCATTCTGGTCCAGAGTGCAGTCTTATTTGTCCCATCACTGTTCATTCTAGTCCAAAGTGAAATATTACATTTGTCCTTTCAGTGTGCATTCTATTCCAGAGTGCAGTCTTATTTGTCCCATCACTGTTCATTCTAGTCCAAAGGTAAATCTTACATTTGTCCTTTCAGTGTGCATTCTATTTCAGAGTGCAGTCTTATTTGTCCCATCACTGTTCATTCTAGTCCAAAGGAAAATATTACATTTGTCCTTTCAGTGTGCATTCTGTTTCAGAGTGCAGTCTTATTTGTCCCATCACTGTTCATTCTAGTCCAAAGGGAAATATAACATTTGTCCTTTCAGTGTGCATTCTGGTCCAGTCTTCTTCTGTGTTTGCCCTTAGAAGAGCAGTAGGCATGTTTTATTAAGGTTTACCACTAGGATGCTGTATCTGAGCCTTTTGGCTCAACACATCCGATTTCATTGAGCTCCTAATTAGTTGCCTTTTATAGCTTGCTTGTTATGGAGACAGTGGGTCTATACCACGCCCCCTCCTCTCCCTTCCCAAATTACCCCAGAATGCACCTCACGGGGCCACTTGTGAAATCTTTTATTAGTGTCTTTAGTATGCATCGGGAGTCGCCGTGGCGGAGCGGCTAGACGCTCATAGCAGATCGGAAGGTTGTGGGTTTGCTCCTTGGCAGAGCCAGACTTTTAAAAAAAAAAAGACCTTGGCTTCCAGGTCGACCCAGCCTTGAGTGGGTACCGGGTGCAGTCCTGGGAAGTAAAGGCGGCTGGCGGGATGCTGACCATGTCACCCATCTTGTGCCGATTGGTCTATAAAATATAGGTCTAGCCCTATATGCCCTAAACCCCTAAAAGCGTGGAAAAGGGTCTTTTACTTAGTATGCATTATTGCCCAAAATTAAATCTGACATCATTTGTCTCCTTTCAGGCCGTGTTGACAGATACAACCATGAGCTGGAGGCCGAAGACACAGAAGACGATGGTGAAGACTTGCTGTTCCACAGCTTCTCCTCCTGCTCGCCTCGCTACTCTCAGGTCTACAACCGAGGACTGGAACCCCTGATTAACGATGTAAACATGACTTTCCTCAGTCCACATGCTAGCGTCCCTTCACAGGTCTCTACTAGATGACAGACAGTATTGTCATGGTGACGTTCGTAAATCTGTTGCCATGAGTATTTCCCACCACCCAGATGTTGGTGTTGTCATAGCAATGAATATTGTCATCATTAGGGTTGTGTGTGTGTCTTGCTATGCCATATACGACCATTTATGGCCACAAGATATTTCTGTTGTCATCTTTGAGGTCATGTATATCATGCCATGCCATATTTGACCATTTCTAACCAAATAGAGTTTTGCCATATTGACATATATAGCCCCAGTGATAACATGTCATACCCTGTTTGGCCATTTCTAAGCAATATAATATTATTATTATGGTCGTCATTGATGTCTTATTAGTGAAGTCATATTCTTTTTAGCCATTTCCAAACATAATATTGCTATAATGTCATCATTGGGGTTATATGTGTCGTGTCATTCACATCATATTTGACCATTCGGACTGCCCACCATATTATCTTTGAGGTGATAGTCTATGTGTCCCTATGTGTATAAAACAACCCCATGTGTTACACGACCCCTATTTTAGCCCAGAAATAAGATAAATATTTTAAACACATTCTGTGTAGAAGGCAACCTCAAAATTTAAACTTTAAAAGTTTAGAAATACATCGTCTAATCACGGAAAAATACGGAAATTATCGGGGAGCCCACATAGTGAAGTCAAGCCATTTGTCTTACGATCATGGGCTCGTTTCACAGGCACATTGTTCTGTCATTAGAGATACTTCTTCTTCGCGTTCACCAGCTGTAAACTCTGGCAGAAAGTTCTGGCTGTTCATCCACTTCTGGACTGCAGTCCTGTTCCATAAACTTGAGTGTTACGTGTGCATCCGTTTTTCACATCTGACTCATTTGTATGCAGACTACTGGTTCCTTGCCTCTCCGGCAGATGCATGCCGACTGTGAAGGAAACATTTCTAATGAGTCACCTTGTATGACATGCTTGTTATGGGAGCAGTGGATCTATCCCCCTTGCCCCAACCTCCTCAGAAAATGGGGTCCCGAAACCCACTTGCAGATCCCAGGGCAATGAGGTTGATCTGCTTGACTTAAACTTCTATGTAGTTCTCTTTCAGTGTTAACACATTTAGAGTTAAAGAGAAGTTTCATCGCCCAGCTTCTGTGTTGAGTGCATGGCGTGACACTGTGAGCTGCGTGTGTTTTTCATTGGCACAGGAGCGGAGCAACTGTGGGGTGACCCGTTTGCTATGAAGCTGAAACTAGGATTACCAGATTACCACAGTTAAAGAGGAATACATCCTGTTATTTCTTTCATATTTTTGTATCATCAGAATTTTCCTCAAACAACTTCTGATAAACCATTTCTTTTAAGTTCATCCTTACAAGAGCAAGTAGCACATTGACTGTTGTTTACAGCTAGACTGCGACATCTGCACCTTTATGCTCAAAACCTCAAATTTCAGCAAACCTATATTTGATCGCCTTTCACAGTACACTTATCAGAGGACGCTAGGTTTGTTCTGATAATAAACCATTTTAAAGGTTAAAGTCGAGACACCGACTTCGTTGCACAGGGTTTTATCCCATATGGCCTCTCTCCCTCTCTGCAGAATGGCTAGCTTCCTGCTAAAAGAATTGCACAAAGCATGATACTCCGTAGCTAAGCCGATGACCAAAGGGATCGTAAACATTTTATTTGTGAACTGAACGAACCTACAACCTTCAGAGCGCAAGCCAGGCGGCTTGATCACTTCGTCACAGAGACCCTCGAACCATTTTAAACCTATGACGTCAAACAACCAGACAGTTGATTACCTGCAGAATTGATCTTTTCTATAGATGACAGAACATTTTCTTGTGGGAATTACTAGTGTTAATATTTTTCAGAGCATTTGTGGTATTGTCCTTGTGTGTCCGGCTGTTGCTGTTGTCATCCATATCCCTTACTTGTAACATAGTTCTATTTATGCCACTTTCTGTTGCAACAGAAAAGATACAGTTAGTCAATAAGATTTCTTTTTCTTAATGTTCATTCATCGTTCATTGTCTTCTTATGCCATTAAATGTCACATCTTGCTGACAGTCTATTCCTCCATTCTGTTCTATCATGAAAGAAATCCAGTCCATCACCCTTGGCCTCTCTTGTCAGTGTTCATTCTAAGGGTTCTTTTGGGCGTCCTCGCCTCCTTAGTCCCTCTGTTTCTTATTTCAGTGCTTATTTGGCGATTCTCTGCTGGTTTCTTCTCAGGATTTCTTTATATTCACTCGCTATAAACTCAGTCAGCAAGTTCTGGTTTGTTCGTCTGCATTGTTGCAGGACTTGAGTGTTGTGTACGCATCCATTTCACAGATCTTGCTTATTGTGTGCAGACTTTGGTTCCTCACCTCTCAAGCAGAGACATTCAGACTCCCTGTGGGTAGTATATTTCTGTGATGATCACAAAGAGGTGTTGATTGTGTGTGTTTTGTCAGTTTGAGTTCTGATGCATCATGTGGTTGAGCCTCTGATCCCTATTCAGATATACATGCTCTTATCATGAGTCATACTGAACTACGCAGCTGATAATTTTCACCTCACAAACACCTATATTCCATTCTATTCAACTAATGTTCTTCTTCCATGTACACTGTGTTTAATCATCCAGTATTTTCTCTCTCTGTTTCTAACTCCCTTATACTTCACAGTTGTTGACAAGCTTCTAAAGTCACTTTTCTAACAGGACCAAAAACTAATTAGTGTCTAATCATGACGTGGGTCCTAATGGCTTTGTAAAATGATCATTTCCAGTACTTGGACGTTGGTCTACTTAACCATCCATGGCCCTCTTATAAGGGTGATTAGCACATTATATTGTGGTTTTCAGCCAGGCTGCAGTATTCCACCCTTTGGTGCCGCAGATTAATTTCAGCAAGCTATTTATTAGTTGCCTTTTTGTTGGCTTGTTGTACGCTAAGTTGTTGGCTATGTCAGTGTAAGTTTACTGCTTAATGTTAATAGAATAATTATTGTACATACAGAAATATCATTCTCACCATATTGATACCTGAGCCCCATATTGATACCTCGGCCCCATATTGATACCTGGGCCCCATATTGATACCTGGGCCCCATATGATACCTGGGCCCCATTTTTTGGAGAAGAAAATAATAACCCACTACCCCTAAACAAGCAGGTCATAAAAGACCACTCATTAAAGACTTGCTGAACTTGATGGGTTTGGGTTAGAAGGTGTAGATATTGCAGGCTAGCTGTAAACCGCAACACAGCATGCCAACCACTCTTTTGAGACAGAAGAAGAAGAAGAATTATTATGCCATTTATTCTGTTCTTCAAGCATCTCATTAACCTGTTTTCTCATTATCTAATGATGTTTATCAATTTGAGTGTAGATATTTCTTGGATATCATTCTCTTTGCTGCAGTATGCACCTTATTCTATTGATCTTTCTTGTTGCTATGTTTCTTTGTTTTGGTTTTTCTTATGGAATACTGTTTGTTTTATTCTTATGCCTCTGATATCTGTATCCCATTCTTCATTGATAAATGATCAGTTTGGTTTTTACTGGATCTGTTCTACTTTTTACTTCTATGATCTTCTTTATTTCCTGCCTTCCTAGTTCTTCTACTTCTTTTTTTTCACCGGCTGTAAGTTACGGCGGAAAGACCTGGTTCTTTGTCCATTTGGATTTTGGCTTTGTGCCAGAGCCTGAGTTTTGCATGTACATCTGTTGTAATGGCTTATTTTTGTGCAGGTTGTTCCTTGCCGCTTGGGCAGATGCACTTCAACTTCGAAGGAAGCTGCCAATTAATTGATTCTTACAACATACTTCTGGGGGTAGGCAGGGGATCTATTATATTTTTCCCACAATGGGACCTTGCAACCTACATGGGGAGGCCTTATTACAATGATAATTATATCTTACGACTATTAAAACCATTCACTTTCTAGTCTCTGTTGAATTGAGCTGAGTTACCAACTGACAACAAAGCACTAGTGACATTCCCGCAAGCACTCCGTCCTCCTCTTTAGCAGCCAGTGAAGTGTTCCAGTTCCACTGGTGCCAGTAGCAGTTTGATTATCTGTCCATCTTGCCTTTTCCAAGAGAATAGAGTGTTGACCAGAGCCTCTGGTCACCCCTGGCTGTACTTCCTATTCTTCTGCATTCATCCCAAGATGTAATTGCATTGTGCCAATTTACAGCATGGCTGCGATATATGCACCTTTCGGCCAACACATCTGACTTCTGCAGACTTTTGTTGACCTAGCCTTCATGTTTAGTTTCATGGGACATTGTTGTCTCATTGTTGTGTGGTCATCTTTGTTTCCTAGGTCACAGCTGGTGCCCCACCTCGAGCCGATCCAGAGATCATAGTGATCTGTCTTTGCCCCCACATTTTTTACTTTCTCTGTGTAATCGAAACTAGTGGTTACATGTTATATTGTCCATCAGGTCTTTGTTGTATACGTTTTGCATTGTGCATCAGTTCTTTAATGTATGCATTTCATGTTTCGTATCATTTCTTAAATATGCTAATTTTATACTCAAACTTAATTTTGTTTTTTAATAGGAGCTGAAAGAAAGGCGGCGGCACTCAAGCGCAGATGATTTCCGAGCTAGAGTGTTGGAGCGTAGAGCTCTAGAACGCAAGGACTCTAACTACTCGGAAGGCTCAGATGGATCATTGGAGATGAACAGAAGGAAAGACAGTGTCATGTCTGATAACACAGACAGTGGGGGCAGTGACAAGGGGCATAGAGAAGATGAAATATTTGCAGCTCATGAAAGGTGAAGGCATTTTCAGTGTGTATAGTTTGACACTTTCAGCAAATATATTTTGACATTTTCAGTGTAAACAATATGACATTTTTAGTCTAATCAGCTGGACATTTTCAGTCTAAATAGCTTGACATTTTCAGTCTAAATAGCTTGACATTTTCAATCTAAATAGTTGACATTTTCAGTCTAAATAGCTTGACATTTTCCGTCTAAATAGCTTGACATTTTCAGTCTAACTAGCTAAACATATTCAAAATATATAGTTTGAAACTTTCAGCCTAAAGAGTTTGCCTTATTAGCATATAAAGTTCTACTGCTTTCTTCTTCTTGTTTGTTCGTGTTCTTCTTCTAGTAGTATCTCTAGAGGAAGCACAGTTTTTAGTTTATCTTGCTGCATTTGAGAGAGAATTGAAAGTCTTAAATAGCTTTGAATGGAGGGCTTGTTTCTGTAGTCACCAGTTGATGAAGCTCACAGAAGTTCTTGGACTTCAGCTCTGATCCTGCATGAAAGATCCCTGAAGTGCACTCCTCACCCACACAGGATTACAGGGTACACCAAGCTAGTACTTGGGATATCTGTTGCAGGTGCTATTATAACTTCTTAGGAAGTTGAACAGTATCTTGGTTAGGGAGTAATCTTCCACAACCTCATCCACCACACCGCTACAAGGAAACCAAAACAGCGCTAAAGCAGTCTTTCGAGGGGGAGTCGAGAAGGCAGAATGGAGATTACAGAACTGAGAGTGACAGCATAAACAAACTCAACAGGAAAGAACAAACATCAATTTTTAGACTTTGGACAGGACACTGTGGTCTTCGAGCACACCTGCACGGGAGAGGCATAAAAGAAATTGCTGCCTGTGATTGTGGAGCAGAAAGACCGACCCCTGAGCACATACTGCAGTTTGCCCTAAATTCTCCCAACAAAGACTGTGGATCTGGCCAAAGTGAGCCACATTGCAAGAGAAGTTATGGGGGGACCAGTGGCGACCTTAATTGCACAAGCTTATTTGTGACCCAGATGGAACTCATTGTTTAGCATGACTGATGTCGAACACAGAAGAAGAGTTCTGTTGGATTGCCATCAAGGATATGACTCTTTTAGCTGCAGCTGTATCAGACCTTCAGGTAGCAGGTCTATTGAAGATGGTCAGTTGGCATGAATGACTTTAACATATAGCTAAAGTTGTTTGAAATTTTTTATCTGCCATTCTTTATCATCTTTAAATAGTGGGATCATGTCTGTGATTTTGTTTCTTTTATGCCATAATGTCGGCTCTGTGGCTAAGTCGATGCGAACACTTCGCTTCGTAATGCCGGGATGCCAGGTTCGATCCCAGCTGCGGGCAATGCGCCTTGCGTTGGTTTCGACAGTGGTATCAAGAAAGCCGACCGTCCAGAAAGCAATGGCAAACTACTGGACGTAAATTTGCCTAGAGAAACCACACAACAGCCAGGGGCTGTTAGGGTTGGTTCTGCAACGTCCTCTAGAGGATACGCAACCTTATGCCATAATCCAAGCTCTCCAGATATTTTTCTTCTTCATATTCACCAGCTATAAGCTCCAGAATTCTGGTTGCTTGTCCACATCTGGACTTTGGTCTTGTTTCAGAACTTAAGTTTCACATGTACATCCGCTTCACAAATATGGCTTTTTTTAAGGCAAACTGTTAGTTCCTTGCCTCTCGGGCAGATGCACTCTGACTTAGGACATACCCTTAATTAGTTGTCCCTATTGTATATTTCCTGTTCTGGAAAAATGCATATTGACAACATGTTTGCTTTAATTGAGTTTTCAAGTATGTTCATTAACCCGGAGCATAACTTATTTGTTTACTATTTCAGACGTGCCAGTGACAACTTGAGCATATCCGATTCATCTCAAACAGACAGTGACTCGTGCAACTCCCCACAGGCTACCAGGTCTAACAAACTACCCATGAGAAATGTCATTCCCAAGTTTGCTATTTCATCAGAAGAAGACAAGCCCACTAGCCCTAAAGGTTTGTACGCTGCAATGGTGTCATTCTTTCTATTCAAGGATGGGGTGTTAGTAGACACAAGTACAGCTGTACCTCGGAATTTGAATGCCTCAGAGGTTTAATAGTTCAGCATTCGTACACAATTTAAAAGTAAATTATGCTTCAGAACTCGAAAATGAACAGTCTATTGCATTTAGGAAACACATTTTACAATTTGAGCTTATTGGACCCTGAAACAGATTAATTAAGTTTCCATTATTTTCAGGGGGAAAATTGCACTGGAATTTGAAATTAGAACACTGTCTCAGAACGGTTTATGTTTGAGTTCTGAGGTACCACTGTATGTGGGTGTTTGACGCTTACTGTAATTGTGGGAGGGGGGAGGGCCATTCTGAGCTCCAATTAGTTGTAAGGCGCGAATAGGTGACACTTCCTGTAAGAACACCTTTGCCTCTTGTCATACAACCGGAAATACCTGTATGGGTTCCGAGGGCGCATTTTTAAAAATGGGAAAAATAGACTCGCTCCTCCCTAACAAGTGTGTTGTAAAAGATTATTAATTAGGGTTTTGCTGAAATTGGTTATGCTTGGCGAAAGATGCAGATATTTTAGCCTAGCTGTAAACCACAACATGATGTGATACCCATTCGTTTAAGGGTGAATGCAAAAGAAGAAGATAGAAACAAGGAATCGTTACTTTTAAATAATAAAGCAGAAGTTTAAAGTAATAGCTGTGAGGTAGAAGCCACAGTTGCTAAAACACTTGCCTACTGGCATAGTAGTCATGGGTTCAGACTGAAGCAGATTTTGAAATAGTGTCCTGGGTACCCAGGTTGATCCAGCCTAAAGTGGGCATCAGGAAAATATCCTGGAAAGTGAAGGGGGCCAGTGTGACATTGACTTCATCACCCATTGAATGCTGATTGATCTATTCAAACTATATACCTAAGGTGCAGAAAAGGCCTTTACGTTGTATATGAGGCAGAGGGTGTTGAAAGTGCTATCCAGATTAGGAAGTACCCATTTTCACGCCTTTAGGTGTATTGGACATATTGTGATGTACCTATATTTTGTAGATCAAATAGCACTCAGTGGGTGATGGGGTCAAGATCATGCCAACAGCCTTTACTTCCAGGGACTTCCCCGTGTGGGTTCCAGGGCCCTGTTATAGGGAAAACAAGAATAGACCCACTGCCTTCCCAAAAGCATGTCGTAAGAGTCGACTAATTGGGAGCTTCTTTCGAAGTCGGAGTGCATCTACCTGAGAGGCAAGGAACCAGCAGTCTGCACACAAATGAGTCAGATCTGTAAAACGGATGCACACGCAACACTCAGGTTTTGGAACAGGACTGCAGTCCAGAAGTGGATGAACAACCAGAACTTTCCGCCAGAGTTTACAGCTGGTGACCTCGAAGAAGAAGAAGACTTCCAGGGACTTTACCTGGTACCCGTTAAAGGCTGGGTCAACCTGGGAGCCACGGTCATTTTTGAAAGAAAAGTCTGGCTTCATTCAGATTTTGGATCAGAAGGCGAGCGTCCAGCAGCCACACAATGGTGGCTTCCAGTATCCAGATTAATGTGGATTAATTCTTTCAACTTAACCGTATAGATACATGCTGTTTTACTTGGACATGTTTGTGTGTATCACCCACAGATAATTGTTGCCATCACATGTGTTTAACATGTTCCTTTTCAGGTATACAGCTCTTAACTCTTGTCAGTACCATTTGTTTATTAGGTGCTTTTGTATCAGACATCTTCTTCTTCTTCTTCTTCTTCTTTCGTTCGCATGAAATAAATTGTCTATATCTGCAAAGCCGTCTCTTGTATGAATTTCACTGTCTTTTGTAATTCACTAAGCGGCCCGTAAAGTTTGACTTCCACAAGTGTCTCTTTTGGCCAAATGTTTTGCCTGAAAGCGTTGAATCTGGGACAGTCTTGAAGGATGTGATCTGTTGTTTCAGGTGCCAGTCCACAAGTACACATGGCCGATTGGCCAATCTTAAATTTGTACATCTTCTTCTTCAGCATTCTGAGCCCATGAGGTTCTGCACAGCCCTGCACATATCACCCGTCTCCATTGATCTCTCTGGCTGGCCTTCTCTTTCTAATTGTTGACACCAAATGTTTGTAGGTCTGTCTGAATATTATTTCTCCATCATCTTCTTTGTCTGCCTCGTGATCTACAACCATTTAGCTCCCTTGTGTATACAGTTTTTACCTCTCTGTCATCTGACATTCTGTCAGTATGTCCCAGCCATTTCAGTCTATTAGCTCTCATGATGTCAGTGATCAGTGGTGACTTAAACAGATTATGAATTTTGCTATTGCTTCTCACTCTCCATTTCCCACTGTTTGCATATTTGATAATTCCAAAGATTCTTTGTGAGACTCTGTATTCGAAAATTTGTAATAAGGCTTTATCTCTTTTAGTTGTGCTCCAAGTTTCAGAGCCATATAAAATGACTGGTCTTATCAATATTTTATATAAATTGATCTTGGTGTTGCAAGAACAAAGACTTTGACTTTAGCAGATGTTGTTGGACATGATATACTTTTCCATGGTATAGCTAGGGGTGACCAGGGGGATCCGATAGACGCACGATACTCAGAGTAAAGGCAAGACAGACATATCATCAAATTGCTACTGGCACCATTGGAATTGGAACTCTCTGCAGGCTGCTGAAGTTGAGGATGGAGTGCTTATGGGAATGCTCTGAGTGCTCTGATATCAGTTCTTAGCTCAGCACTGTCATCTCAGAAACATTTTTAAAGACTTTGTTAATTATTATAATTTTTTTAAATTTTGTCTTTTTCTTATGTTATTATGTTTGTTTATATTATTATTCTTAGATGAATTTACAACTCCTAAAGCTTCATCGCCAGGAGGCTCAAGCACAAGCTCAAGAGATGCATCTCCTAGTCGGGACACATCCCCTCTCACTCGCAGCCTGAAACCACCAATTATACTCAAGAAGGGAGCTCGAGGATTTGGCTTCAGTTTCAGATCCATACGAGTCTACATTGGGGAGTCCAATGTATATACTCTACAGCACATTGTCACTGTAAGTTGTTGTTTTATTGCTTTACTTGAGTGCATTCTGTCTCCTTTATCATGTCTTGACTCTGTCACCATGAGAAGCAGCAAACCCAGCATTTCTAGATGTATCCCGGTTCTGTTAATGTTGCTTACCTGGCTGTTTTTCTGTGGCATGTCCCCGAGAAGCATTGTACTCTCTTTTCACCTGTGCAATCTTTAGGAGGCCCTGATATGACTGTATTTACAAAAATAGCATTGGGTATCTTGGGAGAGAGTAGGGTGTCTTTCTTGTGAACAAAACATTATTTTTTAAAGCCATTTTTTTAAGTCATCTGGTAGATAGGTTTTTTTGTTTTTGTTTTGTCATTGTGTGTATTTAATAGGCAGGATTGTTTTTGTCTGGTTTCTCATTTTAGATGACAATAGAAAGATTTGTTTGATAATTAGTTTATCATGTCGTTTGTTGCTTTGTGTTATTTATCATGTCACATATCACCACACAGATTTGCTTTTGTCTGATTTATGATATCATATGTCACCGGTCATAATTTACTTGTCTGATTTATGTGTCACCAGGCAGACTTTCTTGAACTTTTGGTTATATTTATTAACATTTGTACCCAGGGGTACCAATACTGGGTTTTTCCCCCTATATCTGGGTTTTTATATGATTCCGGGTTCAAATTTTTTTTCATCTGGATGTGTTTTTTTTTTTTTTTAACCTTTTTTGTAACTATAAAATTTTTACTTTTTAACAATCTGGGTTTTTATTTTGTTTTTTGTGTGCTTATGTATTGCTTGGGTTTTTGTTCAGCTTAGCAGTTGTTGTTTTTTTTAAAATCACGTTGGCTGCCCTTGTTGTACCCCATGTTTAGTACTGTTTGTTTAAACATCACATACAACTAACATCACCTGGAAAAACAAACAAATAGGAAACCTGTTTTACACTCAAGTCATATCTCTCTCTGTGTCTCTCTCTGTGTCACTCTCTCTCTCTGTGTCTCTCTGTGTCTCTCTCTGTGTCTCTCTCTGTGTCTCTCTCTGTGTGTCTCTCTCTGTGTCTCTCTCTGTGTGTCTCTCTGTGTCTCTCTCTGTGTGTCTCTCTGTGTCTCTCTCTGTGTGTCTCTCTCTGTGTCTCTCTCTCTCTGTGTCTCTCTCTGTGTCTCTCTCTGTGTGTCTCTCTCTGTGTCTCTCTCTCTCTGTGTCTCTCTCTGTGTCTCTCTCTGTGTGTCTCTCTGTGTCCTCACTTACTCTGTGTGTCTCTCTGTGTCCTCACTTACTCTGTGTGTCTCTCTGTGTATCTCTCTGTGTCTCTCTCTGTGTGTCTCTCTGTGTCTCTCTCTGTGTCTCTCTCTGTGTGTCTCTCTGTGTGTCTCTCTCTGTGTCTCTCTCTGTGTCACTCTCTCTCTGTGTGTCTCTCTGTGTCTCTCTCTGTGTCTCTCTCTGTGTGTCTCTCTGTGTCTCTCTCTGTGTGTCTCTCTGTGTGTCTCTCTGTGTGTCTCTCTCTGTGTCTCTCTCTGTGTCACTCTCTCTCTGTGTGTCTCTCTGTGTCTCTCTCTGTGTCTCTCTCTGTGTGTCTCTCTGTGTCTCTCTCTGTGTGTCTCTCTGTGTATCTCTCTGTGTCTCTCTCTGTGTGTCTCTCTGTGTCTCTCTCTGTGTCTCTCTCTGTGTCTCTCCCATGTCTCTGTACATGTCCTGTATATGCCCAGATAAATATTAATACACTGTGTATATACATTGATATATATCTACATTTGCAGGTGTGCACACATGTGGACATACATACACACACATATGTGCACACACAGACACATATGCAAGCACACACAGACACATATGTAAGCACACACAGACACATATGTAAGCACACGACACATATGCAAGTACACACACATATATGCAAGCACACACAGACACATCTGCAAGCACACACAGACACATCTGCAAGCACACACAGACACATCTGCAAGCACACACAGACACATCTGCAAGCACACACAGACACATCTGCAAGCACACACAGAAAAATATGTAAGTACACACAGACACATCTGCAAGCACACACAGACACATCTGCAAGCACACACAGACACATCTGCAAGCACACACAGACACATCTGCAAGCACACACAGAAAAATATGTAAGTACACACAGACACATCTGCAAGCACACACAGACACATCTGCAAGCACACACAGACACATCTGCAAGCACACACAGAAAAATATGTAAGTACACACAGACACATCTGCAAGCACACACAGACACATCTGCAAGCACACACAGACACATCTGCAAGCACACACAGAAAAATATGCAAGCACACACAGACACATCTGCAAGCACACACAGACACATCTGCAAGCACACACAGAAAAATATGTAAGTACACACAGACACATCTGCAAGCACACACAGACACATCTGCAAGCACACACAGACATATCTGCAAGCACACACAGACACATCTGCAAGCACACACAGAAAAATATGTAAGTACACACAGACACATCTGCAAGCACACACAGACACATCTGCAAGCACACACAGACATATATGTAAGTACACACAGACACATCTGCAAGCACACACAGACATATATGTAAGTACACACAGACACATCTGCAAGCACACACAGACACATCTGCAAGCACACACAGACACATCTGCAAGCACACACAGAAAAATATGTAAGTACACACAGACACATCTGCAAGCACACACAGACACATCTGCAAGCACACACAGACACATCTGCAAGCACACACAGACACATCTGCAAGCACACACAGAAAAATATGTAAGTACACACAGACACATCTGCAAGCACACACAGACACATCTGCAAGCACACACAGACATATATGTAAGTACACACAGACACATCTGCAAGCACACACAGACATATATGTAAGTACACACAGACACATCTGCAAGCACACACAGACACATCTGCAAGCACACACAGACACATCTGCAAGCACACACAGACACATCTGCAAGCACACACAGACACATCTGCAAGCACACACAGACACATCTGCAAGCACACACAGACACATCTGCAAGTACACACAGACACATCTGCAAGCACACACAGACACATCTGCAAGCACACACAGACACATCTGCAAGCACACACAGACACATCTGTAAGCACACACAGACACATCTGCAAGCACACACAGACACATCTGCAAGCACACACAGACACATCTGCAAGCACACACAGACACATCTGTAAGCACACACAGACACATCTGCAAGCACACACAGACACATCTGCAAGCACACACAGACACATCTGTAAGCACACACAGACACATCTGCAAGCACACACAGACACATCTGCAAGCACACACAGACACATCTGTAAGCACACACAGACACATCAGACACATATGCAAGCACACACAGACACATATGTAAGCACACACAGACACATCTGCAAGCACACACAGACACATCTGCAAGCACACACAGACACATCTGTAAGCACACACAGACACATCTGTAAGCACACACAGACACATCTGCAAGCACACACAGACACATGCAAGCACACACAGACACATCTGCAAGCACACACAGACACATCTGCAAGCACACACAGACACATGCAAGCACACACAGACACATCTGCAAGCACACACAGACACATGCAAGCACACACAGACACATCTGCAAGCACACACAGACACATCTGCAAGCACACACAGAAAAATATGTAAGTACACACAAGAACATGAAAACAGTCAAAGCTTCCAGTTGTCATACTTGTGTAGTCAGTGCAGGTCAGCACAAGAATTTAATCATTGGCTAGATAACCTGTATTTATTCTTACACTTCATGTGTTTTCTGTCTATTCTTGCTGCAGGAGGTGGAACCTAACAGTCCTAGCTTTGAAGCTGGCCTGCGGGCTGGAGACTTGATCACTCACATCAATGACGAATGTGTACAGAGCCTGCTACACACACAGGTGGTTCAGCTGCTCAGCTCAGGGACTATAGTTAACATCCGGGCTGTACCACTGGATATGACCACCATAAAAGAGGGATCCCGGCGCAAGGGCAACCCAGGAAAGATGGCCCGCCAGAGCCTCAAGAAGCGCCAGCAGAGAGAGAAGGCTCAGGAGAAAAAGAAAGGGAGAAATCTCCTTCGTCGTTTGAGTAACAAGAAGGTAGAGCCTTTGTTTATGCACGTGCAGCCTGGCAGGCAACAGTTCACACCTCTAAACAGGTCCACCTCTTCAAATGATACCACACCTCAACAACATGGCAAGCTGGGTCACTCACCACCGATCTCTATGCCCTGGTCTCCAGACTCTTCCCATGCGGGCTCTTCAACTTCAAGTTCTCCCAGCTCAAGCACTCCTAACTCGCCCGCCACACAGGCTGCAGCTATTGCAGCAACTCACTTTGGCAGACCCAGCTCATTGCATGTGGTCAAGCATAAGAAACCGACAAGTCTGAAGTCTCCACATCGCCGAAAGTCAATTCACAACTTCCCTCTCTCGCCTCTGGCCCGAACTCCGTCACCATCAGCTACAGCCAGTTCCCCAGCCAGAAGTCCCTCTCCTCTTTCTCTGCCTCCAAGCCATCAAGCTGGTAGCTCTAATTTACCCCAGCAAACAGTTCCTTCTCTACTCAACACACACAGCTGTGTCCAGTACTCCTCCTCAGTTCCACTATCTAGAAAGCCCTCAGACACACCTCCTGTAGTTAAAACTTCAAACCATCCACTCTCATCTCCATTCCTGCCAGCCAAAATTCCACTGGGCCGTCCCAAGAGTTGTGAACCAACATCGCCATTGAGGAGGCGCACATCTTCGCCAGAGAGACTCCACCCTAGTTCAGCAAGCCAGCGGCCCACAAGTGCTGGAGTAGTCATGGATAAACTTCCCCCTCCGCACAGAAAGGCTTCCTTGCAGGAGAGATCTCTAACAACTACACATGCGGAGAGAGAACAGAAATCATGAACTTGTTGTTTGATTTGTTGAAATGGAGAATGTAACAGATCCAGTCCTGTGTTAAACTCAGTATTCTCTGTGATTTTATGAGTTACGGCGTGCACACATGCTTGAATTATACTTAGATGATCATCTAGGCCAAACTGTTTTTTGAACATGCTGTATAAAATGAATGCCATACCACACGATGGAACTATACTGAGGATAAAATGTCAACGTTGTGTCTGTGATAACTATGAACTTAACTACATTTGTGACAGTGTTTTCTTCTTTTTAAAAAATAAATGTCTGTGAAATGTGTATTTTCTAGTATCAGAAATGGTTTATTTTTTTTATTATCTGAGTAATCAATATAAGAAAATGAGTGCAGTTGTATTTTTCACATGTGAATCTGACAGTTGCTTGGCTGCCACAGCCCAACCTGGCATATCAATGTTGTCTAGTGCTAGCCCAACCTGGTATATCATTGTTGTCTAGTGCTACCCCAACCTGGTATATCATTGTTGTCTAGTGCCAGCCCAACTTGGCATATCATTGTTGTCTGGTGCCAGCTCAACTTGGCATATCAATGTTGTCTAGTGCTAGCCCAACCTGGTATATCATTGTTGTCTAGTGCCAGCCCAACTTGGCATATCATTGTTGTCTAGTGCCAGCCCAAACTGGTATATCATTGTTGTCTAGTGCTAGCCCAACTTGGCATATCAATGTTGTCTAGTGCTAGCCCAACTTGGCATGTTTTTGTTGTCCGGTATATTCATTATCTTGCTGTGTTACATGCTGTGATCAGTTTCCTTGTATGTGAAGATTGGTTCTCACATACCTGCAATGAAAATTGTGTAACATTGTGTGAGTAAACAACTGTAACATATTGTGTGAGGAAACAACTGTAACATATTGTGTGAGGAAACAACCGTAACAAATTGTGTGAGAAAACAACTGTAACATACTGTGTAAGGAAACAACCGTAACATATTGTGTGAGGAAACTACTGTAACATATTGTGGAAACTGAAGCCAACATTAATGTTGTCAAATGGTGTCTGCTGCTGGTTGTGGCTTGTGAGTGGAATCCTTGTTTTGAGTGCCATATAACAAGGAATAATCAAAAACATTAATGACCCATAAATTATGATAGTCTGTAATTCTTAAGGACATAAGGGTTTGAATATTTGATGCAGGATTCCCTCCTCCCACTCTCTTCTCTCTCTCTCTCTCTCTCTCTCTCTCTTCTCTCTCTCTCTCTCTCTCATCTCTCTCTCTCTCTCTCTCTCTCTCTCTCTCTCTCTCTCTCTCTCTCTCTCTCTCTCTCTCTCTCTCTCTCTCTCTCTCCTCTCTCTCTCTCTCTCTCTCTCTCTCTCTCTCTCTCTCTCTCTCTCTCTCTCTCTCTCTCTCTCTCTCTCTCTCTCTCTCTCTCTCTCTCTCTCTCTCTCTCTCTCTCTCTCTCTCTCTCTCACACACACACACACACACTTTGCTTTGTCTTGGCCTCCTCTGACACTCCCTCACTGTCTTGTGTCTCATTTCTTGCACTGAGTTGCACAAGATGAATATCATATGTACTCAAATCTCACGATGAAACAAATCTACTTTCTAAAAAAATAAGTTGTGGGACAGAAGGGGTTAAATATATGTTATCTTATCAGAATATGTTAAAGATGTTTTTACATCTGTATCAGAGGCAGTATCTTTGGCTTAGGAAATGCAAGCATGCTTCCTAACTTGACTGTACCCAGTTCGCTTCCAGTTGCAACCAATTTGACAGCAAACTGCTTTGACACTGGTATCAAGAGCTGTCAGTGCAGGGCTAATGGCAGACTGTTGAAGGTAAAATGGCTTAGTAAAACCAAACAGTCAAAAAATGCTGGGGCTGCTTCTGCAATGTCCTGTAAAGGATACACTACTAACTTTAAATTTACTATAAATTCAATCTGCTTACAAAGGAGGGGGTTGTTGATTTTAATTGTTAAAGCTTCAGCCATTTTCTGTGTCAATTACGTGTCTGGAATTAAGTAGATAACATCCTATGGAAGAAATGGGTTATCAATGTTGGTTATTAGGTGGAAGTGTTTTATACCCAGGATAAAAGGGAAGTGAACAGTTTTGCAACAGCTGTTATCCATGAAGATTTTATCTTCAGTCTGTAACACTTGAAAATACTGACCCCAGTAATCGCCCTGACCTCCTTTGAGAGTTACTCAGACTGATGGACATTGGTCTTTCCATTATCTCTCATTTGATGTAGTGGTCTTCAGCTGCCCGGGTTAAGCATTTGTTGTACTAGTCTTCATCAGCTATCATGTCTCTTTGTTAAACTAAAACATATGTTGTACTAGTCTTCATCAGCCATCATGTCTCTTTGTTAAACTAAAACATATGTTGTACTAGTCTTCATCAGCCATCATGTGTCTTTTTTAAACTAAATCATTTGTTGTCCCAGTCTTCATCAGCTATCATGTGTCTTTGTTAAACTAAAACATTTGTTGTACCAGTCTTCATCAGCTATCATGTCTCTTTGTTAAACTAAAACATATGTTGTACTAGTCTTCATCAGCCATCATGTCTCTTTGTTAAACTAAAACATATGTTGTACTAGTCTTCATCAGCCATCATGTGTCTTTGTTAAACTAAAACATTTGTTGTCCCAGTCTTCATCAGCTATCATGTGTCTTTGTTAAACTAAAACATTTGTTGTCCCAGTCTTCATCAGCTATCATGTCTCTTTGTTAAACTAAAACATTTGTTGTCCCAGTCTTCATCAGCCATCATGTCTCTTTGTTAAACTAAAACATTTGTTGTACTAGTCTTCATCAGCCATCATGTCTCTTTGTTAAACTAAAACATTTGTTGTACTAGTCTTCATCAGCCATCATGTCTCTTTGTTAAACTAAAACATTTGTTGTCCCAGTCTTCATCAGCCATCATGTGTCTTTGTTAAACTAAAACATTTGTTGTCCCAGTCTTCATCAGCCATCATGTCTCTTTGTTAAACTAAAACATTTGTTGTCCCGGTCTTCATCAGCCATCATGTGTCTTTGTTAAACTAAAACATTTGTTGTCCCAGTCTTCATCAGCCATCATGTCTCTTTGTTAAACTAAAACATTTGTTGCACAGAAACTGAATGTTAATTTGCTTTGTTTCTATTGTTACCCATTGAATCTCACAGTATTTTAAGATGCAGTTGGTAAAAATAAAATTATATTCTCATTTCCTTTTGTTTCTTTTGTAAAAACAATTTCAGGGTTACATAATTCATTAAATTTGATTGATAAAATGTTGATTTTTCAAATAAGTTTGTAAAATGGTTTATTTGTGAATGTATGTTATTTTTGAATGAATGTTATTTGTGAATGTATGTATTTTCTGAATGTGAGGGCCCTTTTGTCCCCTTCTGTAACTGCATCATAAAGATGACACAAAGAGCAGCGATTGTGATCCCAGGCTAACATGAGCAGATCCATAATACCCCATTTAAACAGCATAGAATAGTTATACAGGGGCTGTTTAAGCTACAGGAAGAAACTAGATGTCTAGGCTTGGGAAACTTTCCTGATGTGTCTGCTTCTTCCTTCACAGCTCCCAGGAAGTCTAGACCCTTACTAACCAGCTGCCTTGTGAATATGAAATGTACCCCATAACCTCCCAGCTACCTTGTGAATTTGAATTTGACCCCATAACCTCTCAGCTACCTTGTGAATTTGAATTTGACCCCATAACCTCTCAGCTACCTTGTGAATTTGAATTTGACCCCATAACCTCTCAGCTACCTTGTTTTCTAGAAAATAAGAGCGGGTATTATACTAATTTTTGTTTTAAAAAAAAAAAATCACTCTGGCTTATTTTTGGAATCTTCTTTCTTCTTTGTGTTCACCAGCTGTAAAGTTCTGGTTGTTCGTCCATTACTGAACTGCAGTCATGCTCCAGAACCTGAATGTTGCACGTGCATCAGTTTTACAGATCTGATTCAATTGAATGCAGACTGCTGGTTCCTTGCCTCTCAGGCAGATGCACTCCGACTTCAAAGGAAGCTCCCCAGTTAGTCGACTCTTACGACATGCTTTTGGGGAGGCAGTGGGTCTATTCTTGTTTTCCCCACAATAGGGCCCCGGAACCCACACGGGGGATTTTTGGAATGTGTCTCTTTTTTTTTTTTTTGCAGATACAAAAATCTACATTTGTTCATTTACAAATTTCTATATGTATTCAAATACATTCATGTCATCTTCTTCCTCTCTAAATCCCAGATTCTGACCGGAATTTCTTGGGACTTCATTTCCTGTAGAACCATTGGCACCAATCTCTCATTTCCAGCAATTAAGCTTTCCTTTAATGAGCGACCTACTTTGAATTATGAACCACATCCATTCATTATCAGCTGTGCATCAGTGGGGTCTGTCCTCCGACTGGCCATTGGGCAACAAGTCTCTCATTCTAGCTGACGATCTTACCTAGAGTTTTTTTTTTTCAGGTAGGGCTTATATTAAAAGCATCCTGCAAAATTGTGCTAGGACTTATTTTTGGGGTAGGTCTTATTTTCGCGATAGGTCTTCTTGTTGAGAAAACATGGTTTGTCTTCTTGTGCTGCCTGAAGATACTTAGTTTTGAATATTTCTGTTGTGTTCTGGATTAATTCCAAGATATAAGACAGTATATCTCAGTAAGGAAACAATTCCTGAATATGCTTAAAAGAATTTCTTTTGTCTTTACATTCTTACTGAATTTCAAATCAGAAAATCAAATAATTAACTCATTTAAAAACAATTTTCTAAATGATTTGAATTCTGACTCATCTATTAACAGCATCCCAAGTTAGAAAACAAATAATTCTGTAAGGGGAGGATTTCTAAATACTTAGTTATTCTTTAGTTTCAGTACCACTTGAGACTTCCAAGGGGTTTCTCAGCAAAAGAGAAATTGACAAGAGGACCAAAATGGATGTTTACTGCTCTACCTCTATGTTAGTCCTGACCTATGGGTGTGAGTCATGGGTCATGACAACAGCTTACAGAAGC